TAGCAGTTTATAGGCGACAGTAATGATCGTTTTGTTCTCTCTTCTTCGAGATATCTAGGGAGCACATGGTTTACTAACCGGGCGCGATCACATTTCACTCCTTCATCAGAACCTTTCCAGAAGGATGGTTGACAATCGTTTGCTTCAATCTTCCACCTACTTTTTTTATGGGATAGGAGATTATCATCCCTATACCCAACCCCCAACCTCGGAGGACCAGGAGCTATGTTTTAAGACATCGGGATTGGTCAACTTATGAATCTGAGGATGGGTACGTTACCGCCTCCTTACGGGATTTGAAACCGCGCCGTAGTGGTCTAAGTAGGAGGCCGGCACTTAATTATTTATTATTAAAATAATTATTATTAGAAAAGTAAAATACACATTCCTTTAATACCTTTTGTGTATGGAATTCACCTGATTCACAAGTCCCGCCCCCACTCTTCAGAAAATTCTGGATCCACCACTGGTCATAGTTAATAGGCTCGATTGTTCTGTGCATTATAGTGATTATTACGAGTGTATCAAAGCCTTAGATATAGAAAAATGCTTAAGTTTTAAGTGTTAAGCCCACAGAGCCGATTTTACCCGAATGAGCTTTACATAGCAGAGTGTAGAAGCTCACTCTCATTCAATACCTACAAAATGAAATACTAAGCGCACCTAAAGAAGTTCACACTTCAAAATATTTACGTTAAATGAGAAATTAACAGTAATTGAGCTTAGATTAGGAATATAATTTATCTTAAATGATATTAAACATTAAATTACTTGATCTTAATATGGCGTTTGAGTAGCTAAGAATAAGAGTAATTTTTTAGAATGATAAATAAATAGAATTTTTAAAAATAAAGGTTCTTTAAAATCTTGGCTTGAGAAGTTGCAAGGAATAAAATTATAGTGGCAAAATAAGGAGGAAAAGATTGAAAATAAAATTTAGAATTTTATTTTAAGCTCTGCATAAAACATTTTCTGATTGGCGGTCGCAATGTACATTAAGACGATAAACGTAAGTTTCCCAGGCGTTTTTCTTTCTCATTTTATTGTTTTCCATTAGACAACGTATTTCAGATTTTTATTCCTGGAAGTTCGTTTCGAAATTTTTAAAACAAAATTTGTCAACTTTCTATCCATCCACTCAAGAACGTCGGAGTTTTGATAACTCCTTCTTTCAATGTTCTTACTTTCGTATTACGATCGTAACAATTTTCGAATTTGAGTTTTCAACGAAAATACACGTTTTGAGATCCTCTGAGTTCAGATAACCAAGTCTCGCTAATTGGTCTGTGTGCCTGTTAGTGTTGCCCAAATGCGAGACCGAGAAGAGTCTTGGTCTTGCAAACTCAGTCTTGGTCATGGTCTTGGTCTTACGCAAGAGTCTTGCAGTCACTTATTAGATTATTACTATAGAGATATTAGTGTATTTTTTTCGATAGGAGAAACCTAACTAAGCCCTAATGATAAATTAGAGGAGTTAAATGCAAAAGTATATTGGATATACCAATTAATAACACATAGTAACTAAGATTGTCAAGTTTTCGTAACTATTTTGTTTTAATTTTTATTAAAAAAATTGTTTTTTTTTACCAGTCCTGGTCTTGGTCTTGCAACAGTTACGTGGCCTTGCTCTTGGTCTTGCAAAGTTGTACGAAATTGATATTACGTATTCAAGATATATGGATGGAAGTGTCACTTTATATAATCAATTTTTAAAATTTTCTCAAAAATGGCTTTAACGATTTTGTACAATTAGTGTGACGACTTTGGGCATATCTATGGTAGGCAATGAAAATCTCGTCATTTCATTTTAGTAAACTTTACAATGGAAAGTAACACTTTAATAACTAATATTCGAACATAATAATAATCATTTATAGATTGAATATATAGATATACTTTCAAATCTCTCTAGGCATATATATACTTCAGAGACTGGAATTATGTAATTTACAAAAACAGATAGAGTAACGAGATTTTTATTGACTACTTTTAATATAATTAATAACGTTTTTGTTATTTTAATGACCTTAATGATTTGCTAGCTATAAGTTTTAAGCTGTAAATCCGTTAAAGATGCACTTCAAGAATTTAGAATAGTCCAACGTTGCCTGAACATAATTTTTATTCAAAATTAGAGCGATAAGTGAAAGTTGCGTAATGCGCGCACCAGATTTTTTATTAAAGTTGTAGTACTGACTTAAGCATCGAAATTGGAATTCTTCACTTCTTCATGAAATTTGTTCTCATTTGATATACCTCGTTTGTAAAAATCGATCTCTTCTGATAGCCGGAAAAGACACTTATATTACCATATTTTTTCGCTACATAATATAGTTTAAAATTATAGAAATAGTGACAAAAAGTTACTGGACTCACTTATATAGCTTTTTTATGCACACTAATAATTTTTTCAAGAATTTTTAAATAAAAACTAAACTTACCTAACGTATGTAGATATGTTGTTTATAAAATATCGCTGTTCCACTGCCACAATATCTAACAACTTGACAAAGGTGTCTTGATCGCACTAAAAGACTACCGGCGTGTAGTAGCCTTTTTATCGCTTATCGTTGTTTAAATTTTGATTGATGCAAGAGGCACTGATAATGGTGTAACTTCAGAAGCAGCTTTTTAATTTAAGTTTTCGGATTTTTCAATAAGACTTTAGGTGAAATAACAGTAGAAAGTTTGGCATATTAATTATCATTTAACCAGATATATCTCCAAAAGAGATTCCAGGATCAGTTATTTGAGAAGAGTTTTAAAAAGATGTGTTTTTTCTCTGACGTTTCAAATTGTATTTGAACAAGCTAATAGATTACTCATTTGTGAATGAAGAATTGCATCAGCCAGAAATCTACTCTCCTCCTCATACCTTGAATTCACAAATGATTTAATATACAGATACATATTTATGAGACTTTATTTATAAACCTTTATTTAAAATGCTTTGTGAATCCTAAAATGTACGAAACGAATTCTAAAGTTTTAGTGTTTTGTTATTACATACTGTGGCGTAAGTAATCTCAAACCTGGAAGAATGGTCAAAACTGGAAGATTAAAATAAATTCCGCTAAATCCCATCAAATCACCTTTATCCTTCGTCGTAAACTTATGACTTTCTGTCCTTCAGTATCTTTTAATAATACCCCACTAATTCCTGTAGAACAAATCCGATACCTAGAACTCCACCTGGACAAACGTCTCATTTGGAATCCTCATACGAGACTGAAACGACAAGAAACCGCTCGACCTTTCCGTTTACTCCAACACTTACTAGGCAAACGATCTAAATTTCCAATTAATTACAAAATACTCATATACATGAGTATAATAAGGCCTATTTGGACTTACGGAGTTGAGCCATGGGGCTCCACTAAACCATCGAATTCCTCTCGTATCCAATCCTTACAATCCAAAATCCTTCCTAAATTTCTCAATGCTCGTTACTTAGTCACAAATAAAATAATTCATAAAGACCTTAATGTTCCGTATATTTCTAATTTGGCCCCTCCGAGGCGTCTGAAAAGAAAATGGCCGAGTGATCTCCTTATATAGACGTGTTATTAGAGTGCTACCAGTGGGTAGTTTCTCAACAAGCGTTTTCATATGATTATATTTCTGTGTTAACATTTACTTGATGTATTTATATTAATACAGTTGTAAATATCATAAATAAAAAAAAAATTTCTAAATCACAATATGTTTCAACTTGATCGTACTTTTAAGCCAACTGGACAGTGTTTAATAAAGCTTTTAATAAATAAGTGAATATTGTTGAAAAAACATTTTATTTCCATTTTATTTACACCACTGATTAGATTTACATATTAAACACCTTCTTCTCCCAAAAATATAGAAACATTTCATGAGTAGAAGTAAAACCTGCAAATTTTAAGAATCCGATATTTTTCAGTGGTCCCCACAACTTGATTGTAAATGCTCTACTTTGTCCTGAAGATGAGATGTAGACTAGAAATGAGCAAGTGAATCGAGAATCGAATCGCAGTCGATTTCTCTGTATTAATCGTATTCTCAAACGATTTACACGAAAGAATCACGTTTCACTTAGCAACGGTCGATTACTCAAAATAGGTCAATTAACTTAGAATCAGAATAGGTCGATCCACTGGGATTTGGAATCGTTAGATTAATAAGATTCTTAGTCTGTGGTAAAGACCTCTTTTTATCAAATTATTAACATCCGCCTGAAACTTCGTAAATAGCTTCATCTCATCATAACCTACAAATATTATATTTACGAAAACTCTCGGAATCGGGGCGTTTTCAATCTGGAGATTGGCAAACTTTGTTTATTTAATTAGGGACTAAAAACTCGTAAATGCCCATTTTCTTTCCACTTGAATCGTAAGATAACTCCACACAAAGTTGGGAAAAGAAGGTGGCCTTTAAAAAGATTGAACAGTTTGGCGTGACCTACACTCACATTTTGTAATCAAATTATGGGTATTTACAAGTTTTTAGTACAAAATTAAATTGACAAACTTGTGAACATCCAGATTGAAAACGTCCCTATTACGAGAATTTTCGTAAATAAAATATTTGTAAGTTACAATGAGATGCAGCTATTAACCAAGTTTCAGCAGAATGCTATAATTTGATAAAAAGAGGTCTGAATCAGGCACTATCTGTGAATAGCAGTGGATCCAAATAAAAGCCTGATAAAAGATATGTTGGGATCTTGTCATTTCTAACAAGGTTTACCTTTGAGCTCATAGCTGCTAATATTTCTTATGGTATGTTTTCTATTTATTATTTATAATAAATTTATGAATATAATTCATAGATTATATATATATCTGTGTGTGTGTATAATCTTCATGGTCTATAGCACAAACTGAAAAATAAATATATTTATATGTATAAATATATAATATAATATTTTTCACCTAAAATTTCAATATCCGATATCTATTTAATCTAGCTAGTAGTAAAAAAAAATATTTAGAGTCTGGGTATTAAATATAAAAAATAAATATGAATTTTCTAAAAAGTTTTATTTTAAAATGCAACAATTGATTCAATTGTTACAAATAATACAGAAATGAGCTTATTGTAAATTAACAAATTTTGTGATATGAGAAAGAGACACAGACATAATTTATGTGAATAAATAAAAAAAATAATTTATAATAAATAATATAATGTATCTGATAAGATAGCATAATCTGATAAGATAGCCTAATTTTTTAATGCTTGTGTTATTTATAATTCAAAAGTCAAAAACAAATATTGACTATTGACAGAAGGTTAACATTGAATTTTCTATTATTCAAAAGTTCGTAGCAAATAAGGCAAGAAGACTTGTTAACAAGTAATGTAAATAAGAAGTAATTCAAGTTCCACTGATGTAATTACGAATTGGGTACTTGGGTGATTAGGTCATAACAATATAAATACTATAATACTGTTTTTTTCTATAAATTTAAAGTATAACGGTTGAGACGTGCTACAGACTGCCAGAGTCTACCCGATACCATTGATATTATACATATCCAACTTTAAACATATAGTATTTCCAACTTTAAAACTTCAATCCAAGAAATATCTTTTTTCTTTCATTGCGTGTCTTTTAGGCAGCCATGTATTCCCCCACTTCCATTTTCAATGATATAAATCACAATTGCATCAATGTTTTTTTTTTTATACACTTATAAGTTTTTTTATAAGTCATTTTTAGTGAATTAGAAATCATTGATCGTTCTAATAATCAAGTGTCCTAATTTTTCTCAATTACCATTACTTTTTAATAATGTGAGAATAAAATTCTTCATTAATAAAATTTCTCAATAATGCGCTTTCACATTTCTTTTTTTTTTTAAATTAAATTATTCATTCTGGAACCGACATTCATACAAGCCCAGCATCTTGGGCCAAACTATAAAAGATCGAAGACTTATTTTTAAGGAGGACTTTAGGCGAATCAAATTCTAAAACATTCCCTTGATCCAAGACAAGAACTCTGAAAATAAAAAAAAAAATACATCACAATTAAGAGTTAATTTTATAAATGAAAAACTTATTATAACCATTAAAATAAAAAAAATTAATGATAATCAAAACTAACTAGTTTTAAATTTCACAATATTTTAATCTTATTTCAAAGATTACTGCTGTTACAAAAGTCTTTCTTTGTTCATAAAATATGTTTTATTTAAATTTCAGTACAAAATCAGTATAAAACAGCATAAGATTTGTGATCGGGGCCCCAAGATACTCCCATGTTTCTCACCACTACACTGAGTTAAAGTGGCTTTTCCCCTCCTTCCGAAGACAATATTTCCTAGGTACGTTCCTCTACCAAATCATCAATCCTTCTTACGCCTACAACCTTCTCCAGTTCAAATCCTCAGTCCATTACCTGTCCACAAGATCTCGACCTTCTAACCTTTACATGCCTTCTCACAGATCTGCCTCATTCCAAAATTCCTTTATTGTTCACTCTGTCAATTTCTGGAATTCCTTCCCTATCAAAATTTGACATTCCCCATCCATATCCACATTCAAAACCCTCCTATTCCAATTCCTATCCCAAAAACAGTCAGATAGATCCTAACTATTCGAGCTGATTTTAATAGAGAATTTGATACATTTTTATTTTTTAATTCTTTATTATTTTCTTAAAAGTGTATACCGGTCTATCAGTGCAAACAGCTTTAAGTGTCTTGCTCATAGTGTTAATTGTTTTGTATATAGTTTCGTTTGTTTTGTATATAGAATTTTTATCTTATATTTTTTTTACATTATTTCTTTTTTTCGATTGATTTTATTTTGGCCAGATGTAATCTTTTAATTTTGTTCTATTTTGTTATTCTCAATGGACTGTGTCCCAGAATAAAGTTATTTTTCTATTCTATTCTATTCTAAAATCTAAACTTTAAAATTATTCTTCAAAATGAAGACCATCGACGTCAATTACTTTTTTCCAACCAGAAGTGAAATTGAGTGGTGATATGAGTCATAGAGGATTAGCCAAACTAAATAATGTTAAATGAATTGTTTAAAATGAAGCTGATTAAGAAAATATATAAAATGAAAGCTTTAAAAATTTATTTAATAGAATCAATGACAATGACTATAATCAATTTAAAGTTATTATTAAACATAGAATTTCTAACCTGTCCGAGTCCATAATTGTGTTCAACCTGTGAGCTATCGTCAAGACAGTACAATCAGCAAACTCTGATCTGATCGTTCTCTGAATGAAGTCATCCGTTTCCAAATCAACTGCTGCAGTCGCCTCATCGAGTATTAAAATCTTCGTTTTACGGAGAAGAGCTCGAGCAAGGCAAATGAGCTGTCGCTGACCAACACTAAAAAGGTATAATATCGTCAAATTATAATTAACTTTACAATCAATTTTTGTTAGACAAGACATCCAGGGACATATTAACCTCAACGCAAATACTGTTTTTAAACTCAAGTGTTAGAAAGAGATGATTTGGCTTTTATAATGCTCAATCGCTTAATTTTTTCCTAATTAAGGGTACTCATTGCAAATGATATAGGGAAGAAGAATTAATTATATTAAGGTTGAAGATTCTGATTATTAAAGATTAACACACCTTAAATTTTCACCTCCTTCAGACACTTCATGCTGCAGACCAGCAGGTAACTCTTTTACAAAAGCTTTGAGATGGGATAGCTCAAGAGCCCTCCAAACCTGTTCATCGTTGTAATTGCCGAAAGGATCGAGGTTCATTCTCAAAGTACCAGAAAAGAGCACAGGATCCTGAAAAATACATGTTTTTATATAATTTATTTAAATTAGTCGACTGTTCTACATATCAGGGTGATAAATATTCAGGTTGCAGTCATTATAAAGTTTTTATTAATGCTGATGTATCAACTCAAACATGTCAACAAGGTCATCATCAGGACGTAGTTCGAGCACTGAAGGTATTCAAGTACTTGAATACCAGTTATCACCCATGTTTTTATATAGTATACAAATATAGGGTGTGAAACATAAAATATTTTTATATATATATATATTGTAATGTCAACATTACATGGCATTTGGATAGTGGCGCAAAGGTGGTGATGGCGCGAACTACGGGAAGGAAGTGGGGGAAGCAAGCTTCATGTAACTCAGAATGTGACAAGCTGTCAAGAGGGAAGGTGACGAGCTGCCAAGTGAGAAGGTGCCAGCCAGCAAGTTGAGAAATTAGAAAAAGGAGTCCTAGCCGGTTCGAGTGTTGATAGAGGCCACTAGTGAAGATTATTTTATGTTGGAAGAAAACAACATAGCAGAAAACAATTAAGTGGTACAGAAAATGGGACATTCGTAAGTAAGAAGAGATTATTTCGCTGGCAGGCGTAAACATTTGGGTGAGTGCTAACAATGCCATTTATGTTGACAGAGGGATAGAACCAAAAGTTTAGACCGGGACAAATTATTTTATAAAATATTTTAAATTATAAATAAGTGTAGTTAGTAATTAGTAAATTAGTGTACATTGTATTTATTAAATGTGAATGAGTGTTCAGTTGTCAGAACCCAACCTGAAAATTGATGTTATGTGTTAAAATAAATAATATATTGAAAAAGGAAACTCGTTGTTTGATTTATGTTGGCTTTTGAGAACGTTGCAACATGTATATAAATAGGGATGGACTGGATTACTGATTGGGCTAAGGTATTAGTAATAGGTAATTGAAGTTAATCATGTCGCCTGTGGTAAATGCTTCGATGGGTGATTCTCAAATTCGATGCTCTTCACCAGGGAAAGACATGCTGTCCAAGATTTCTCCTATCCTATTATGTCAGGCACATCAGCCTACTGGAGACAACTCATACTGACTAGGTATAGGAAGGATGACCACTCCTGATGACCCGGAAATCTTGAGGTGATTTTCCAGGATATCAGTTGATCCCAGAGGATTGATCTGTTTCAGAGAAAGAAATATAGATTGTTGTTTCCCTGCTGATTGTGAGCAGCCATTGTCTTTGAACTCGAGTAAGTCGATGAGAAGGACACTACCAGATTGGTCCCAAAGAGATCAGCAATGGAGCTATGGATGGCCCACAGCTGCACCACTGAGACCATGGTCTGTAGCAATATGAGGTTGGGTGACCCATTTCGGACTATTTTTGCTCTCACAAGCAATGTACATCTGTAATAAGACCACATTGCGAGCACAAGGATCTACATTGTCTTTAGTGCCAACAAACACAAAAATAAATAATAGGAAAGTACGTTTTTGTCGTATTCGTCCTATATATAGTAAGAGAAAAAAAAATATCTCTATATATATAAATGATCTCTAATGTTCATTTAGAGAGGCCAAGAAAAATACAAATTTACACATATATTACTCTTAAATCTGGTAAAAATCTGTCTTTCAAAAAATAAAATTGTTTTAAAATTATATTGGAATCTAATGAATGTTTAAAAGACCATAATAATGTTTACCTGAGGAATGATGGTGAGATGAGCTCTCAGAGCGTGTAGACCGAGGGTTGATATATCCACACCATCTATTAATATTTTTCCACCAGCTGCTTCAATTATCCTGAACAAACTCAATGTAACGGATGATTTCCCAGCACCTGTACGCCCCACTATTCCAATCTATAAAATAAACAAAAATATTCAAAAGCCTATGAATATTATAAAGTATACACTTTTTATATATTTTTTTTTTCTCCTTAAATTAGAGAAAGTATGTCAGGTATTATATAAAGTGATCTACAATATATTACATACAAAGTTTAATCAGTGATTTGACATCTTTTTATTATAAATCTTTAAAACTCAATTTTTTATGCTGAAAGGACTTAGGGATACGTTAAAACATAATGTGTTCATCATTTAACTTCTTTCTTAACAGAGTTGATTAAAAAAAATTAAAATATTATTAAAAGAAATATGATTTTACCTTCTCGCCACCTTTGACAGAAAGGTTGAGTCCTTTAAGCACCAAGTCTAGCCCTTCACGGTAACGCACAGTGTAGTCTAAAAATTCCACTTTACCTTCTTCTGGCCAATCAGCTGTTACATTGTTCGTAATGAGGGACCATGCTGCTTCCTTGAAATTTGTACATAAATTTGAATTAAACTAGTATTGAAATTATAGTCAAGAAGAAAACATATTTTATTTGTTTAGAAAACTAGAAAGAAAGCTTAATTTTCATTTTTTTTGTTTTTTCCTTTCTGATTATGTTCATAAATTAAATTCGAAAATATTTTATATAAATTATAAAAACAAAAATGAAAAAGAAATTCAACAGTTCAAATGATTTTAAAATTCTATTTGAGTTCCTCATCGAAGCATATATTATACAACTTTTAACAAGTCTGTTTTTCTAATTAAAATGAGGGAAAATAAAGAGAACTTCGCTGCCAAACAAAATTTATTTTTTTTAAAACTACTAAATTATTTATAGCATATAGAAGATTCTATTTGAAGGCAAATATAGGAATCAACATTGTTATTTCTATCATAAATTTATAAATGTTATAAAAAAAAATAAAACATTAGTCAAAATTAATTAAAAAATAAATTAAATTAAAATTAAAAATTATAAAAATGTTTAAAGTATAATAATAATACCTGGGATGTGTTGGAATATTCTTTGATTCTCTCCAAAGCTACGATGTCAGATTCAACTTCTGCTACGATGACAACTAACATGTCTAATAATATTGTAATCTGGTAACATAGAATATAAAATAATCTTATTCAGGGACTAATACGCTTAATAATAAAAACTATATACAAATTAATAGAAAACATAACTGTCCAAAAACTAAATTAATAAAATTCAATCAGTACATATATTATAAATAGTTAAAATGTATAAAAAAAGAGGAAAATCATCTCTAAAATATATCATCGGAAATTAAAACTATTAATTACTTCACATCAATATTCCAATCCATAAAAAAAATCTTGTTATATTAAGAAATTATACATTTTGCCTCACTTAAGGGCATTGACTGTGAGACACATTCATACCTTATATACAATAACAAAAACAATAGAAAAGAAAAAGAAAACTTGATAAAAACAAAAGAAATGAAACTTGAAAACCTTTCAGGCTATATGAGGCTTTCCCAGGCCGGGGGATGAGGGCGGGGAATTTAAAATTACCGGTATGCGAACTCCTACTTTTTTTATCTCTAATAACTTCGGTTATCTGATTGCCCAACAACTCATGGTTAGCCATTCGGCCACTCCACCTCCAAAATAAAATTAAATAAAAATAAAAAATTCATAAAAATACATTCATACTTATTTACAATATTTACAGTCAACCAAGAGAGCTTCAAGTCTGGCCCTTTCCCCCATGTGTGGAGGACAAGGCAAGACTCTAAGAGATCATAGCGCTTCTCTTTTAGCTTGAGATGGGAATACAGTGAAGACTGAAAGAGGGCACTAAAACCACATTTAATTTAATCATAAATTAAAATTACATGAATAGGAATATCTGAATTACAGGGAAGAATCATGGTGTACATTAGATGGAAAGCAGATGGTGCAAGAAAAGAACAATCAAAGAATTTAGTTTTATGGAAAGGAGTATAGAAGTCAGAAACAAGGGATGATCTTGTTTTCTGTGGGTGGACAAATGGTTATGATTGCAGGAGATTATAGTTTTACAAAGGATGTTGGGAGTTAAAGATCCGAGGAAATATTGTTGATAGTAGGTGAAGAGACTACTTTAACTCGCCATAAACGTGGAGCATATGGGTCTTGAGGTACTGAAAGCAATCTTAGAAATCAGTTCATGACTTGCTTAAATGTTTCCTCAAGCACATTCAGAAGTTACTATATAGTTGCAGTAAGAAAAAAACAAGAGGATATAAAGAAGCTTGTGGGAAAAAATTATGGTATCGAAGGAATACACAAGTGTAAAGCTATAGTATAACTATAAGACATAAACTATAAGAATTATAATAAATAAGTAACATGGTGAATCGGTTACCTCCAATGTATAACTGATTGAAAGTCCAACAATTCCAGGACTCAAGTAATCCTTACCGATGATTGCTAAAAGTGATGCAATAAAACAAATCAAACCACCAATTAATTGCAGTCTTATACCAAGCCACCTAAAAATAAACATATTGGATTGAATATATAATTTTATTTAAGTTTTTAACAAATTTTTAAGTCACTTATACATACTTTTCAGCAACTATAGTTGCATACATGGAAGATTGGTTTACGTCCAACTTCAGTTCAGATTCTTCGATGAATTTCTTCTGAGCACCGTATGCTCTTATGATTGAAGAACCTACATTAAAAAAAGTTCTTATAATTACAAATGATTAGTATTTTATATATAAGAAATTATATAGAATGTCTAAAAATTATATAACTAGGTTTAGCAAACAAAGCCTTCTATTGGTCATTAATTTTTTATTTTATTATCCGCTTATATTTCGGGGTTGTTTTTCTATTTTGAAATATCCTGATACATAAAAGTCTTAAAAATTGTAAATCATTCATTAATAAAACCATTTCATGGATTATTAAACATATTTACTAAACAATTGGACTTTAATTTAACATGTTTATTTCTGAATAGTTCCATATTAGATTTTGTTACTCGCAAGTTCACTGCTTAATCAAACAAGCAGTGGGTAGTTGTGGAAAAGCAAAAAAAAGTTAGATCACATGCATTTATGTTATATCAAAGTCAAAAACAATTACATATCATTTGATAAAACAATTACCTGATACACTCTCACCAAAATGTGAATAAACTGGAGATGTGGTTACAGATTCAATTCTCTTTAGTTGTTGTGAAGTAGCAATGTAACATTTCTGTAAAAATTTAAATAATAATGAAATAGAGAAATATTATCAATATCAAAAATATAAATAAAAATGCATTTTTCTCATACCTGAATCCAAAAATAAAGAAGTCCAATAGGAACTACGGCAATTAAAAAAGCCGGTGTAGAATAACTAATAATAAATATCGTTCCAACTAACTAAAAAAAAAAAAATACAATAATTTATATCATAAAATAAATGAAATAGCAATAAGATAAATACAAGAAATAGAAGAATATTTCTTTAAAGTAAACCTAAAAGCAGCCACAGATAAACATTTTACTCAATCTGCTCCATGAAATGGAGTGGAATGAGTGAATCTAATGAAATGCTAGATGTATAGGATTGATGGAGATCTGAAATTTCATCAGAGTCAAACTCCATCATGCCATTTCAATATCCATTCAGTCTAATCTTGGATGTGGAAAATTGATGGAGTGGAATCAAGGACAGCAGAGTTTTTTTTTTTTCTGTTGGTATTACAGACCATGTAGATGTTTTGCTGCCTTAATAATAATAAGCCTGCTCCATATCTGTCTGTCTTGGGCTATTTCTTTCCAGTTATCTGCATGCAGCTCTGTTATATCTTTGTTGATTATATCTATCCATCTGCTTTTTGGCCTTCCACATGGTCTTTTACCTTCTATTGAGGCATTCATTGTTACGTAGAGGCTTCCAGGTGGATTGCTACGAGCTTCCTGCCTCACCCATCTTAATCTATGTGCCTATATATGGTGGGATATTGATTGACCAGTTTCTTTAAGTAATTCTTGTATTGTAATAATCTTACAGACCATGAAGATCTTTTGCTGCAAGATGTGGACTCCTTACAGACGTGCATTGCTTGCGGAAACTCAGATAGCCTGGAGGGAGTCACCAACCTCACGTTGCTACGAACCATGGTCTCCATGGTGCAGCGGCAGGGCATCCATAGCTCCATAGCTGATCTCTTTGGGGCCAATCCGGCAGTGTCCTTCGAACATACTCACTAGAGTTCAAGGACAGTGACAAATCGGTCTAGATCCATTGATTATGGCTGCTCGGAATCAGTAGGTGCACGAGGACCTATATTTCTTTCCCAGAAACAGACCGTCCATGGACCGAACCTCAGGGGGGCTACTACCATTCCTGGTAGACCACATGCCGATTCCCGATTTAAATACACAGGGTAGGGTCTTCAGTCCTACGCCTGGTCGGTGTGAGTTTCCTCTAGTAGGCTGACGGGACTCACATACCTGAGGTGGGGGGAGTGACTCGGGCAGCATGGTTTTCCCTAGTGGGCGGTCACCCATCTGAGTACTAATCACGCTCGACGTTGCTTAACTTTACTATTGCAAGCTCCTTAGACTGCTACCCTAGCCCCCATATATATATATATATTTTTTTTTTTTTAATTATATATATATGTAGTAATAGTTTACCTATATTTTCTGAATTTTATAGGTTCATTGCACCTTTAATACATGTAATATTCTTTGCATCCCCCCACTAAAAAAGTTCAAAAATATTTGTAGAAATATTTAATACTCTAGAAATCTATGGAAATCGTATGTGCTTGGTGAGAAGGTGGATCTCATGTTTGTGAGGAGATGAGAGCATACCACAACACTAAAGGCTTGAGGGCAGCTCTATATATATTTTATTCTTTGTGGCGGTGCCCTAGGAATTCTCTTTAGTCCAACTATTCCCCTCCATTATTCCATTTAGATTGATCATCAAAAGCTGCCTTTGATTTTATTATAATAAAAAATTCAATATTTAACATTAATATCAACCAATAAAAATAATAAGTTCAAAAATAAGGTACCGGTGCTATAGTTGTAAAACACTGCCTGAACATCATAGGTATATCACGATCCAGTACATCAATATCCTTGGAAAAACGATTCAGAATTCTTCCTAGTGGAGTGGTATCGAAGAACGACATCGGAGAATGCATAATATTCATCAACAACAATGAATGTAACAGTCTACTAGCATTAACTGAGCCAATGTACCAGATCAGTGAAGAAATGAAGTTGGTAACAGCTAGAAATAATAAAATAAATTTGTTAGAAGAATAATTTTTTTTTTAGTTTAAATAACATTCTTTCACAATTAAGAACATTAGTGATCATGATAGAAGAAATAATTCACATCATATTTACAATAAATTAAATAGAATAACAGCAATATATATGTACACATAAAAAAATCTGGTGCGGTGCGTGCATAATACAACTTTCACTTACCACTCTATTCTTAGCAGAAATAAGTATTTTCAGACAAAGGGTAAGTGAAAGTAAAAATACATTTATTTTATTTCATTGTGGATATTTTTATTTGTATTTGTATATATTGTATTTGTATTCCCATATATATAAAGATTTTAATATTTATATCGCTGAAATCTATACAATTAAATATATAATAATACCAATAATAGTATTTATAAAAAACGCATATGTATATTTATATAATATTTTCAAAGTCCGTATTATATTAAGCTCATGTTACGTATGGAAGGCTGTTCTAATCTTTCGGGAGCGCTCGTATTCCTTTGGTTCCTCAATTACAACTATTCTCCGTTACGATCTCTTATTTCTCCTTTACTTAATTTTCAAATTCTTTCTTATTTTATATTTAATTATCTTTTATATTACAGATTAATGTGAAATAGTCAATTGTTTTAAATAAATAAAAAATTAAAGGTACTTTATGGAAAGCTAATATTGAAAATTAGCCATTTGAGCCCTGGTAGAGAATATCAATAAGAATAAAAACTATATTTTATATAAAACAGCTTAATTTTACACTGATAAAATGAATTTAATCAAAATCGTTAGAGCCGTTTTCACTAAGATCGTAAAAATGTGCTTAGTCCATGAGATATAAAGTGCGACTTCTGGTATCCGATTTTGACGAAAAAGTTGCTGTAACATCCCTAGTACATAAAAAATGTAAATATGGAATTTTACTTTCATACGAAGTTTCGTATTTGAGCTAGACTGTGAACACACACACGCACAGACCATTCTGCGAGACTTGGTAATCTGGACTCAGGCGACCTCAAAACGTGTATTTCCGTTGAAAACTGAGATTCAAAAATTTTCACAATCGCAATACTTTCCTTTACTATATATTTCATATATAGGTAAGTGGAAGTTAAAACTTAGGGTTAAATTAATCAAAATAACAACTTAAATACATCCATAATTATATACAATACAATATACAAATGTTCATTCAGGGGCACTCTGAACCAAGATCTAGAACAAATGAAATATGGTCATAATGTAGGGTTATGTTGTTAACAAAAGAATAATAAAATTTAAACAAAAATATAACATTTTTATCTGTAAACTGAAGAAATACAAAATTTACAAAGTTCATAGAATCAAATTTTATTGGAGAGAGTGAAGAGTATTAATCAGTCTGGTTCAATAGGAGTACTGATCTCTAAAGCCTTGTTGAAGATTTTAATAAACTCATCAGGGTACAACATCGTATATGGATGAAAGAACACATTTTGATTTAGGAATAGCTCGAATAAGGCAGCAGCTCCAACAATTTCTGTCCAGGGAGATCTTTGAATAGAAATGAAGTTCGTGACTCATTGGAATCTGACAATGGATATTTAAATAAATAAAAGAAAAAAAAATACATTGTTTTGTATGATCAAATTTTGAAAAATAATTTATTTTTTAAAAAAAGACTACTGAAAAACCCTGCGTGGTCTGGAAAAAGTTATAACCACTTGCCTTTTTTTTTTTTTACTCTAGAAGAAATAAAAAAGAAAGAAACTATACAAATTATGTTTAATTAGTCTTTGTAGGCTTGTGAGTAAAAAGTAAATAAAAAAGGTAACTACAGTAATTAATAATTACTAAATATTTTTTCATAATACGTGCTTGTATTTAATACCTGTATATTTGTTATAATTTACAAAGATTACTTATTGTCGCTATCATGTTAAGGAAGAGTGAATGCACCCAGTTATGGACATGGGGTCCAGTGATGGACAGGTTGGAATTTAAATGAGAATAATAAGTTTTCTTGTTGATTAAGGTTCCAGCTTTTTTCTTGATTGAAAAACAATGCCTTCTATTGACAACTGTATGAAGAAAGTTTCTAAAAGAAAATTTTAAAATGCCTGTCATTGTTGTTTCTATAATGCTCTTGAGATCAGTGTGTTTCATACCTTCCTCAGATCAGTCGAAGAAATAAATATGGAACAATTAAAAATAACATTGTTTTTACATTTTGGGAGGTTTTAGCGGCAGTTCAGAATAATCTCGACAATTAAGAAACATTTTATATAATTGATATAATATTTACTTTCTCCCAAGCCTAACAATCCATATAACTCCAGGTACATGTTCCTTTTTTCAATATTTTGGGTACCATTGATAACGGAATCCTTGTCATCTGACCATTTAGATAAGAGTACGTAAGATCCAACCTCAATTGCCTGATTAATAGCAATAAGAGCAAAACATATTGCACACAGTAATGTTCCAACAGCTTTAAAATAATCAGCATAAACTCTCCATTGTATCTGAAAACAAGAGAACAAAAAATTAATTGATCTTTATATAAAATAACAACTAAAATAGCAATAGGACTTGGTCAGGAGTGCGATCAGTGATGGAATATAACACAGACGAGTAATCTTATTTTAATGTGTGCCAACATATTGGGCAAAGTTTCATACCTTCGTCAGAGCAAAAAGACTAATAAAAGAATCAGAAAAAGAATAAATAAGAAAATAATTACGCTCCTATCGACCACACTTCCTTACCAACTTCTCTACAATTGAACGTATAACTCAATCAGCAATCAAGAATATCACCATTATTAACAAATAAAATACATAAATAACTGCTCTATTTTAACAAATCCATAAATTTGTAGACCATTATAATGTTTGAAAGGCTGCCGAGAAATAAATAATAACCAACCCAGATGGGAATTGATCCTCAGCGTTAAGAACTGAGCACTCTGGGACCCTCGCCTCAATGTCAGCTATCATTTTCTCAAACCAATAGTATAAATATCAGAATCGTCAGTACTTGGCAATATTTTGAAATTTTTTTTTTTATATTTATAACAAGAAAAAATTAACTTTGAAAGATTACAGAAAAAAAAAAAATACTGCAAATAATGACCATTTTCACACATTTAATTAAAGCTTGCAAATATCATAGGAACTTGTTTCAGGGCTTAAATTGCAGCTTTTATTGGTGCCTGTTTAACATGAAAATCTTAGACAAAAATAATAAATATCTTAAATTAATGAACCTGGATGAAAATCCGATGAGTTTTTTATTGCAAATAATGTTTTTTTTAAGCATACTTGAGCAATAATGTTTCTCTAATAACTTGTGATGTTTGGATGCCCTTTCAAATTTATTACTTTACAAATATTAAACAAGTTGTTGAACAAACGGTTCGTAATTAACATAAATATTTTACCCTTCCAACTTCAGCTTTCTCTTCTTCAATTAATTTTTGGCCAGTTGATTTTTCATTGGTACTTTTTTCGGAAAGTTGTGAAATGCTTCTCCTAAAATGACAAAACAACTAAATAAATGATGAACATATTTTAAGAATAATAGTGAAAAATAGATAAATTAATATTTACTTTGTTAGCGAAGGTAAGGATGTTATTGAGCTACTGGTAGATTTTTGATGGCTGATTTGTCTATGAAGTTCAAGATCGGTGTTTATCACTTCAATTATATTATCGTCCAACTCTGCGAACAGAACAAATAATGTTCAAAAGATTCCAATATTAAAATAAAAACTCTTAAAGATGTTTAAAAAAAATCATTATCACTGTTAGGTACCTTCTAGTTCTTCTTTATCAATCTCTTTTAAATGTGATACAAGGAATTCGCTGAATGCTCCTTTCCGATTAAGCAACTCACGGAAGGTACCGACTTCTGATATTGAACCATCCTTGAGTACAACGATCAAGTCTGTTTCTGGTAAGAAGGTAATACTGTGAGTAACAAGGAGTCTTGTCTGCAAGAAAAAGGTATTTTCCCTCAAATTATAAATTTGTAAATAGCTAAATTACTATAAAAACAAAATTTTCAATACAATCAAGGAAAATATTGTAAGCGGGTTAAATTTTCAATGCAATAAATAAAAACACTTCCAGCCAATTGGTCAAATTTAATTAACTCAAATATTAAGTATTTTATCTTTATTATATATATTACCTTTTTCCAAAGTAATCCACTTGGACCTATGACATTCTCAAATATATGTTTACCAACATGGCTGTCGACTGCACTCAAAGGATCGTCTAAGAAGTAGACATCGCAGTCGGAATATACAGCTCTCGCTAAGCTGATTCTCTGTTTCTGTCCACCACTCACGTTTATACCCTAAAAATATTTAAAATATAAAACTAATAATGTTCTATATTTGCTTCTACAAAATATAATGTTTTAATGATCTTCATAACAAATTTATAGATATTCTATTTGATGGTATTACTACAATTATTTGGCAATAAGACTAGTGGTGGGGCGATATTCTTGAAGCTGTGATTTTGTCACAGGCTGGAACAGAAGTGGTACTGGTTGTGATGTGTCCTCAGGGAATCAAAGTTCTGAGTGTTCCATGTTCTTGGGCAAGAACATAAAAAACACATCAACTCACTCTCCGTCTTCTGAGAATCTAACATTATTTTACCTTCAATATTAGAAAATATAGCAAAATCACCTTTGATATTAACAGAGCTCCAGCAAATTGGGCACTGTTGAAATAATTTATTCACTAAATTGCTCTCTTATTATACCGTTCATTTTGGACAACTATTAACGAAGTTACAGCTTTTCAATTGCCAATATAAGATTATGGGTTCATATTTTGGTGTCAGAAAGGGGTGAATGAAAATGAAGAAAAAATATAACTAAGCTTAAGTAAGAAAATCTGTTGCCCGCATCACACAAGCTTCACTATTACCTCTACTTTTAATAGAAACAGCAATATTAGAGGGTATTGAAATTTTTACACTGATCTACCTTAAGCTAGTTTACATTGCTTTAGTTTATCGAATAAATCGTACTCAAATCTTTTCTTTGATCAATTATCAGGAAAATAAATCTAATTCATTTTTTTTTTTTGTTTCTTGATGAACATATGTAAAGATATAAAAACTTTACATATGTTCTGAAATAGGTAGGAAAGTCGTGTGAGTGGACACACTAGATTTTATTTTTCAATCTCAGTTTTTCATGAATTCATTTTTTTTCAGCCACAGAGAAATATTTTTTTTTTTTATTTTACTTTGTGATTTTTTGGCCTAAGTTTCAGGCCTCCTTCAAAACTGCTTATTTGGACTCAACATCCTCCAAATGAGCAGCCCTGATGAAGATTTTTTTTTCTTAATCCCCTTTCTCGCCTTTTAGGCTATATGGGTTTTTTCTCGGCAAAGGGAGAGGGAGAGAAAATTATGCCGGAGTTAAAAATCCCTCTGGGATCGGGATTTGAACTTACTAATTTTTGTTTATCATCTGGTTGCTGGGCAACGTTTATTTTACACACAGGTTAGCCCACTCGTTCTTCCCATCCTCCATTCCTGATGAAGATCTAAAACTTGAAATGAAACGGCATAAAATGAAAAAAATAAAAGTGGTTTGAGCTTAAAACCACACAATATAATTGAAAATATGCACAAAGTGAGTTAATAATTTTTTTAATGCGCCTAAAGAAGTTTTTACTTCAAATAATTCATTTTAATATTTCTCTTACTTTTTCTCCAATTTCAGTTTGATCTCCACCAGGAAGCATCTCTAAATCTGTTTTCAATGCGCATGCATCAATTACTTTGTGGTACTTTTTACGGTCTATAGTCTTTCCAAATAATATATTGTCCTGCAAGGTACAGTTCTGTATCCATGCTAATTGTGGCACATACGCTATTGTTCCCTAAAAAAAAAAAAAAAAAAAAAAAAATCAATGATAAACAACTTCATTTTGGTTTTCCAATTTTCATGGGATTTTTAAAAATACAGTGATATCTCTACAAATTTACTTTCAATAAAAAAATCTTTTTATAAAGAAAAAAAAGTTCGTACTTAATATATTATATAATGTTTCAACTTTTATAAGCCTACTTAAAATAATCTAAGTTGAAAACTTACTTTTTTTGTCATTCGTTTACAGTGGTACAAACCAGCTTTTCTGAAAATTTCACATGTCAAATAATTCGAAAACTTATTTAAAAATATTTATTTTAATTAATTATAATTTAATTAAAGAATCTTTAAAACAATTCTATTTAAAACTCGAAGCTAAGAAATAATATTAAAAATAAGAATGAAAAATGCAGATTGGTCCGTTTTGAAATATACCACCAGAATGGAATAAGCCATATAAGTATACTATGGCAGTTAGTAAAGGCCTTTTCCACTTCACTTTATTCCTTTTCCCGCATTCTTCCTCAGCTCCGCGTTCAGTAACTGTTCTAAGTAGGTAATTATAATTACTCAATTTTAAGTTGTGAAAGACAACTCTGACATTGCCTTATACTAAACTTTTCAATATTTATTTCAAACTTCTAAGTGACAGTTGCAATGACTTCCTTGATTAAAGTTAATATTCTCAGTTAAATAACTGTAGTTAAAACTAAACTATAGTTAAAGTTTCGGCTCTGTTGCTCCAATCAATTTTTAACCCAGGTTAGTTAACTACGGTTAATGTATGGTCACCTTATTTGTGACAATTTCTAGAAATAGTTTGAAAACTTCCAGTAGCATAATATCTGAAAGTTATCAGTAACTGGCATTTAAGTGTTAGAGGGATCCTTCTATTTACAGAGAATGTGAAACTATCAATATTAAAAAGTCTATCAAATTATAAACTTTTTTTTTGTTGTAATTTTCAACTGATCTTAAGTTAAATTTGGGTTCTTCTTAAACATCAAATTGACAATTTTTTAATCCATATTAGTTCAATTTAGGAATCAGATCGATTTTATTGTAATAATTGATCATTTGATAAATAATTTTATTCAGACAAAATCATATTCATTTTTCTCGATTTTTTACAGATATAAAAAAAAACTTAATCAAGAGACAATCAAATTAAATCAACTGTAAAAACTTGAAGGATTTGTGTCTAGTCTAAAGTAACCATAAATAATGCAACACTTCGACATCGGTTAGCTAATCATAATTATTTGACTGAGTGTTAAGGCTAATCAAGATTGGTATAATAAAATTTTTGTTAATCTCTGATTTTAATAAATCAAAGATTTAAACTAATCAACCAAAAGATTCAGTAGAAAATAAAGTTTTTTTTTAACTTTAAGAGAACTTTACAATAAATTATATTTAAAACATGAAAACTTACCCGTGTGTTGACTCTGCCTGATACTTTAAACATTTCCCCAAGGAAAGCTGATATCAAAGATGACTTGCCAGAACCAACGGCACCAACTACGGCAACGAGTGAGCCTGGTTTTATTTTCAGATCAAGATTATGAAGTGTCGGTGTCTCATCACCTCCCCATGAGAATGTGCACTTTTCCATTACTAAAGGTTCATCTAAAAAAGTACATATAATTTTAACTGATTCAAAAGTTCCAATGTAAATGGTACCTAACTTTAAATTTATGAAAATTAGTCATTTAAACCTTTTGAGTCGGTCGCTTATTCCCATGTAAAAACACCCAATGAATCCAATAGTGCAATTATTTTTTTCAACAATAAACCTAAATAATTGGTAAATGGTTGACTGTCGTGGATAATGAAGAGAAGAATAGTTGGGGTGGTCAGTCAAAACAGAAGGCAAAAATAAATGATAATGTTTATTTTTATTCAACGTCGGCATATGTAAAAATAAATATTATCATTTATTTTTGCCTTCTTTTTTGACTGACCATCCCAACTATTCTTCTCTTCAATAAACCTAAATATTAAAAAAAGTGGTGTGCCGATGTTTCGACCTGAAGTTCAGGCCTTCATCAGGGCTAAGAAAATAACCAGATAACAAGGTATGAGAAACATAAGTAGTGATGGTAAAAAAATAACAAAAATAAAAAAATTAGAAAAATAAAATAAATAAATATAAAGTAAAATGAAATTGTTAGAATAATGACTAAGAACTAAGAGATAAATAATAATAACCGTTACCAAGTGTAGAATGATGAAGTAGGCATAATCAAAAAAGGTGACATAAGTGTTACAATGGGAATCTTAGAATAAAATGTAAAACATAAAAAAGAAATATGAAGTTATATAAGAAATGAAAATAAATAGTAAAATTAAAACATTGAGAATGGAGTAGTTAGATAGAAAATTGAGATATTGTAAAGTCTATCAAGATGTACAGACAATGTATAATATAATAAAGAGTTAAAAACAGAGAAAAGGAATGAAAGGAAGGAGGGAAGAAATTGAGAAAGCTGAAATAACAAAGAAATAAAAGAAGTACTACCTGTCTCCTTAAGTGTTGCAGGGAGAATAAAAGTCGTTACAAGGGAGGGGGAGAGAGAAGAGATAATCTCTAACGGTTATCCGACGATTAATATTTTAAAAAATCAATGATTTTTGGAAATATTTGCTAAAAATTAAGAATTTCTTTATAATAATATAAAGTAAGGCTGCGTTTTTAGTTCACCACATTTATTTCCATTTCACATTGGCTACGTTTCGGCTAGTCTGCCATTTTATAGCTATTTTATTTAATCATGCTTCTTACATATAGTCCATAATTGAACTAGATAGAATTCAATTATGGACTATAAGTAAGCTGTAAATAAAATGGCTTGAAAATTCCATGCTAATTGAAATATAGCCAATGTTAAATAGAAATAAATGTGGTGAACTAAAAATATATCCTTACTTTATATTATTATAAATAATTTCACCTAACACAAATGAATTTCTTTATTTATGTTTTGAAAAATATTAGATTAAAAAATATAGTTTTTCACGTTACCTAAAAATTTGTCAGTGATGATTAGGGTTCAATATGGAAATAAATGACTCATTTAAAAACAGTATTATATTATATAGTATATTTATAAACTTGTTTAAAGAAGCACATGAATAATTAGAGTTTACAAAATATTACAAGAACAATTAAAAGAAAAAAATATATATTTTTTAACTTACCATCATTGGTATCATGAGAAACAGTATTTAAATCCAAATCTTCGCTATTTAAAAACTTGTTTATTCTTTTTATCGATACTGCTGCCTGAAAGCATTAACTATTAAAAATAATACTTTAAAATTTAATAATTTATCAGGAGTCTCTAATTTTTTTTTTCAACAAATCAAAAATTAAATTAATTACTCATTATTACTCAGTACCTTCATTCATTTAATCAAAATTGCCAAGTAACATTTATGAAGACCACAAATCTATAAACCTAGAATTATCTGTACACAGTTAGATTTGATTATTTTTTATAATAAGAAGTATATTAAAAATCTAAGACACTCTCTTTTTTAGATGCTCCCTAAAAACTCTTTTCATTACTTGATAGAAACTGAATATAAAAAAAGATGGTAGAAAAATATTCTCAGAAACAGGAAAACAAAATCTTATGTTCTTTTTAAGTCAAATTTTGAACTTTGTAACTACAGTCAACATTCACCATGAATCACAGGGAATCTACGGGGGGAGGGAGGGCTTTCGTGCTGAAGCCCTCCCCCCCCTCCAAAAATAGTAAAATATAATCATGTTTTATAGAAAAAAAATATTAAAAGCTATCTCTTAAATTATTATTGTTCGTGTGATTACATTTAATAGGACTTCAAGAATAACTAAGACACCATATCATATGGGTAGTTAGTTTCTTTCTTTTTGTTTTTCAAATTAATTATCGTTATATATATGAAAAAAAATCCTTCAGGCTGAAGCCCCACCCAAAATTAAATCCTGGATCCGCTAGTGCTATGAATGATTCAAGCCTTCAAGATATTCCTTGAAATAGTGCTGACAATGGAAAAGACAATTTGGATTACCATTTCTTATATCTTAACAAGAGTAAATTATAAAGATTGTAATTACTTGAATAGCACTCGGTAGCAGAGCGGGAAACATCATTAAAGGAGTTCGCATAATATTGAAGAGCGAAACAGAAACAAAAACTTTTGATGAATCTAGGATGTTGTTTTTGTCAAGCAGAACATATGCTGTAAATGTCAAAATTGTAACCTGAAATTAAAATTAATTTATTAATATACTTAAAAGAAGTAACAAATAAAAAAAAAAGAATGATTACTATTAATAAAGTACAAATTTTGAGTATACTTTATTTACTATCCACTTTATATAAAGTCCACATCGTACTTCATTCCTTTAACGTATTTTAGTTCCATTTTCAATCTCATAACTGTAGGGAGAGTGCCACTACCTATAATTGTTGTGTTTGATTAGGAAATTATAATATTTGACTTTCATTATACTTTCATTTATTCTCTCTTCACATAATTTATTTATTCATATTGTGGTATTAACTTATAATCATCACACCTTATTGCTGTCAATTTTACTATATTATCTTACTATGCAACATCCAAACACATACCTCCCTCCCTAGAACCATAATTTTCCATAATCTTGGTGCCGTCACCCATGAAAATCTCACGTGACATTGAAGCCCTGAACTGGAAGGAATCTATTCCTTCTATTGATTGTATTTTAGATATCCTCTCCACTAATCTTATTCATACCCTTAATACCTATGCCCCACTTAAAATCTCTATTTTCCATCGCCAGCCTGCTCCTTGGGTGTATAAAGATATTAATGACATACAAAAGGAACCTGAGGAGAAAGAGCAGTCCATAGATACTTAAAATAAAAAAGGCATGCAGAAGACTATCAAGCATTTAGAGTATTCCGTAACTTGACTCCAACAAGAGTTAATTGGACAAAATCAAACTTTGTTCATGAAGCCCTACCCTATGCTTTTGAACATAAATAAAAACAGCAACTCCTTCACAAAATCTCTGTCCTATGGGAGGGTGTTCTATGAGACATTCAAGTTATTTCTATGTTCTCATCATTTTTTTCTGCAAGCAACTTACAAGCTCTTTGTTTCTTTACTCATTTTTCCCTACTTTGACTAAGGCTGTGTGATATAAGGCGGACTCTCGATTATACTCAAGATCAGATTAAAATGATCACGAACTGCACTCTAAGATTTATCTTTGGTACCTTGAAGCAATCTATTGACCTTTATAAAGTGGCTTTTGTCCTCCTGTTGTTTCCTATTAATTCCCAAAAAACTTCCTACTTATAAAGTCTTCAGCAATTCAAGCCATAGGCCCACTCATAAAAAACTATATCCCCTGTTTCTAACCTCTATATATATCCTTTCTCGTAGAACTAAAACCTTTAAATGTTTCTTTCTTGCTCCCTCCCTGTCTTCTAGAATTCCTTACCATCTGATTCCTATATATTCATTGAAATCCCTCCTTTTCCATTACCTTCCCACATCCCAAACAGACCTCTCCATCGATGTGAATAATAGTTTCAATATACAGCTTTATGTTCATGTACCACACTATAAATAGATATAATCAGACCCTATCTGTATTTGACAGACCTCTACCATGAGCAACAGCAGTGTGAACAATAGCAAATTTAGTGAGAGCAGTGGCTGCTCCAATCAGAAGAAATTATATTCGAAAACAACATATTATGTCTCGGTAGATGGGAATCTCTGCCAGATCAATGTCTTGCATAATAAAAAGTGACCTTAGGATGGATGCATTTCAAAGAATAACAGGACAGGAAATGCTAACCACTTCCCTAAAAAAAAATAGAGTGGATATATGCAAAGTGCTCCTTGGCCGTTACACCAATGGTCTTCATCGAAAGATTTTGTTTTGCGATGAGAAAATTTTTATAATTGAAGAAAAATTTAATTGCCAAAATGATCGTGTGTGCGCACCTAGCTCTAAAGAAGCTCAGGAAGTCATTGGAAGAGTGGAAAGAGGTCATCACCATTCCTCAGTGATGGTTTGCTTTGATGGCACCACAAAGCTCCAATTGTGTGAAAAAGGAGTTTAAACAGCCGCTAAAACTATACGATGATATTTTAGAACCTTTTGTCAAGCCTCTAAATGATAGTTTGTTTGCTGGAAGTCATTGGATTTTTCAGCAGGATTCCATTCCACCTCACAAGGTCAGGTCAACTCAGCAGTGGCTGAAAAAGAACATTCCAGAGTTCATCTCTGCCTCGGATTGGCCTTCAGGAAGTCCTGATCTCAACCCATTAGATTATCGGCTTTGGTCCGAACTGGAGAGGATGTCATGCCACAGCACACCCTAACTTGGAAAGGCTCAAACAATCTCTGGACAGTTGAGAGCTTTCCTCTAGAAGTGCTGCGAGCTGCTATTTATGACTGGCCACAGAAATTAAATGCCTGTGTCAAGGCTAAAGGGAAACATTTTGCGTGATTTTTTTTTTTTTACTCTATAGATATCCATTTTATTTTCTAATAAACATTTTGAAAAAAATAATTTTTCTGTTGAAATTCGGATTAATTTCCATGTAACAATATTTATGACAGAACTAGGTATATGTTAAATCCTTCTAATGTATACACTAATTGAACTTTAGTTATTTGGCCAGTATTCTACTTGTTTATATATAAGTTTTTATTCGAATTTCGACTTATCTAACTTGGATAGTATGATACTAGCCGACATTTATCTGTGTCCGAATAAAGAAATATTTTTCATTACCTCTTTGAAAGTAGAATTCATCACTGAGCACCTTGTCATTAAAGGAGTAAAAGTCCAACAGGCTCCTGAATCATATATGAGCCCACTATCATTAAAGAGTTAAACATTCTTTTTAGATTTATTTGAATATATTCATTTATTGTCATACTGTCAATATATATAAATTTATGTAGTCTACTTATTCTACTATATCCTAAATATTGAAGTTTTTCAAATATACCATATTTGTATATTTTAATTTATCTTGCTATTTCTTACATATCATTCATGTATCATTATTTAGCTTTATTTTCATAATTCACACAAAAATATTTTGAGAATGATAGCCATGTTCAAATTTTTATCTTATTATTTTCCTGTTATACTGTTATCCTCTATTTTTCTTGTTTTTACTTAGCCCATTTATAATAAATAAGCATTATTCATATTATTGGTGGTAAAATATATAAGGAATCCAATTAACACCTACGTGGTCAGATGCAGCAGGTTTGCAAACACAGGGAATGTTTACTCACCATAATTTTCCCTGCCATTATGGTGACTTAAAGGCTCGAGTATCGCGGGGTGTAACCATTATACATTGTTTACCATATCAATCTCTTCCTATAATGAATAAATAATCTGTGAAAGGATTTCCTAGGCTCAAATTGTGTGTGTTGCCTTCGGGCGGGCGATTGGTGTCGTTAGTGCTATTGGTTTAGTAGGCAGTCACAGTGTATTAGTGCACGTTTTGTATTTTAGAACAAGAAAAAATCATTATTCAGTGATGAGCAATGTTTTGTTTCTCTTTGAATAATTACAAGTTATATATTTTAGAATATTTGACAACTTTTTAAAATTATTTTATTTATTTGACAAGAATAATATTAAGAAAAAAGTTTCAAAAATATGATGGTAAAAAATATTTATTTTAACCTTCATAGTTGTAACTATGTACTATGTTAATATAAGAGTAAAAAAATTAATTATGGGGGGAGAAATAATATTTAAATAATAATATATATATATATATATATATATATATATATATATATATATATATATATATAGTAGGTTCTTACATTTATTAATTCATTATTCAAGTTATTAATTTGTGATAAGTAATTATTCCTACTGTCAGCCATGAGTCAATCCTGGGTATACAATACCCTCTTGCGGCTCACTCTTCCACTATAAACTGGGTTCCCTTAATTGGAAGAAAACTTGCCGGTTGAGTGTGATTCTTGCCAGATCAGCTGGTACAACCATTGATCAAGATATAGTACGTACATTATTAAGAATCTACTGAATATAGGACACTCTGTGAGTTTTAGCAAAGCAGTATAAAAAGAGAAAAAAAAAGAAGAATGAAGAAACATCATTATTTTATTTTTTAAAACCTTGACATGAGATATATACTGAATCACAGATACCAGAGATACTTTTCACATGAATTACGACTTATCTTGAAAACGGTACGTTTCCATACGTTAGGGCTCTTGGTTCATTTGAAACTAAAACGTGTATTAATCTCGATTGTTCCTATCCTATAACTTAGGCCGAAACGTTGAAGAACAATAAAGTAACGCTTCTTAGTTGTGTATAATTTCATTTATGACTGCAACCCCAATCAGTCATCTTTAGTCAACAATATCTCCACCATTATTTATTTATCATCAGCGATAATTTTATCTTAAAAAATGAGTTTAATTGGTTTGTTTTAATTAAATTAGAATTAAAAAATATACTAACCAAGAAAGGAATGCATGAATAAAGAAACGAAGTTGTTGCTCTTAAATAAGCATTTGTTTTTAATAGCTTGATTTCTTTATCCCTGATTTTCAAAACTCTCTCGATGAAGCTTGGCTCCCAAGCATATAACTTCAATACCTGCAAAAAAAAAAATAATAACGATAATAGTAAATACATAATAATAAATTTTAGTAATCCCGAAAAAAAATTTATATAATTTCTTTTGTAAACAGATATAACATTTATATTGTCGATAAAAATACTATCCGATCTGAAAATCACCACTCTAATATAATTAAAAATCCAGTCCAAAAACAATGAGAATGTTTTAATTTTTACACTAATTTGTATTTTTTATGAATTTTTGAAGATTTTGTAAAATATTTAATTACCATTACGATTGGTAAAATGTAGAATTGAAGAAAGTTAGAAGTCGATAGTTAGTATTTACATACGCTTTTGATGTAACTAAACTTCATGAAAAAAATTCCATTTGAACAATTATAATAAAACTTTTTCAGAAAAAAAGTTTAAACAAAAAAATTTGTTATAATAAAGTTCTGGATTTTTAGCAAAGGCTTGACTTTTGTTCTTTTAAGTACTTAAATATTAATAAGCAGTAATAAGGGTCAGATTGCAGATATAATTATTATCTTGAATGAATTGCCTGATTCCCAAAAGAAAGTAATGCCACTATGCGCAACTACCATTTTGTAAATTCACTTTTTGGATAAATGAATTCATTTAACACAACTTATAAATAAACATTAAAAAAAAAAAAAAAAACTGAACCAGTCCAACCCATGGAAGTTCAGGAGTTCAGTACTTTTAAGGAAGTACTTATTTTAAAACTGAATAATAACATCCTAAAGAATGTTATTGTTTGTTATTAAATTCTAACGAAAAACACAAATTATCATTCTAATGGAGATCTAGGTGGCAGTTTTGTAATTATTATTATTATATTTGTAAATAAATAATTGAATTTATAAAATAATGATAATACAAACTTTCATTCCTGAAAGTACTTCATTCATCATTTTGATTCTTTCATCTTTGGTCTTCATTCTCGCCAGCTGAAGACTTTTCATTTTTCTTGCAATATATGAATTAACAGGAATCATGATAAGCATGACAGCTAAGCCTGCAAGGACACTAGGACCTGAAAAAGAATTTATAAAAGATACTAAGGATGCTTTGAGATTTTGACAAAGAATGAAAATGATTTGTTAATATTGGGTTGGCAAATAAGTCCTTTCAGTTTTTCAGGGTGAAATAAAACTCATTGTATTATATACATAAAATTTATTTTAATCTATAATATACTGACCATTATTTAATATGTCTTTCTCCCATCTTTCCACTAAATGCATAATGCCATGCTCATAGAATGTCTGGAGTTTATTGTTAAAAAACTGATCCAAGTGGTTATTGATGTTCTCTTCCTTTTGGAATTTCTTTCCATTCATGGAGTTCTGCAGAGAAAGAAATAGGCGGTAGTCACTTTGAGCTAGGTCTGGTGAATAGGGAGGGTGGGGCAAAAGATCCCATACAAGGCTCAATAATTCATTGCGAGTGACCAATGAAGTATGGGGCCCAGTGTTGTCTTGGTGGAACACAACATCCTTCCGATCATTAATAACTCTTCAGAATGTTTTCCAAATTCGATGTTACTATTGGAAAGCTGAATTGTTGCTCGTCAAAGCCAAATGAATGGTTTTTTTATTTAATGCCTACATAAGGAATAAATAAACAAAAACTCCTTTTTTTTTTTTTTTTTTTTTTTTTTTTTTTTTTTTTTTTTTTTTTTTTTTTTTTTTTTTTGGGTCCTTCCCTTCCTCGCCGTTAAGGCTATACGGGATTTTCCCGGGCCAGGGGGTGTGAGCGGGGATTTAAAAGACTCCCCCGGACCCCGGGACGCGAACTCGTGACTATTTTTATCTTCGATTCATATGTCAGGTTGCCAGGCAACGGCGGTGCAGTGCACACGCTTTAGCCCATTCGGCTACCCCGCCCACAAACAAAAACTCCTTATAGGTTTTATTTTTATCTCCATTTGTAGTTTGTTTACAAAGGTCCTGTTGATGCCATTTTGTGTAGTTTATGTGTTCCTAAATCCCTGCTAAATTTCTTGTAGATAGCTAAAGTCGTATTGAAGTTATAACATTTTTTGTCATTTTCAAACAAAAAAAATCATGTGAGGGACCCAACCATTAAACCTGGAAACATGGCCGAACTTGTACATTTGGTTTTCTATGGTTGTGTGCATTTAGGACCATAGCAATCTCTCTCACTGTTTGTGTGGGATTTGATCAACAATGGCCTTTACAATGTTCGTTTCAATTTCATGTAGGTGACCAGACCGTTGAGCATTATTGATGTCAAAATTTCCTGAATGAAATTTGGCAAAACAATTGTGTCAGGTAGGTTCTGATTTTTTATGAACTTCTGCATCACGCTTACCTTTTTTAAAATAATACAACAAAATATGCTGATAATAAATAATATTTTCTTACATATTCACAGTGCTATAGCAAATACAATACTAAGCTAGTTTCAACAAGAGTTAACAGATATAGTTGTTGACATATTACAAACAGGATAAATAATCCACCTTAGGGATTAATTCATCACATAAGAAGTGCATCATAGTGACATAAAAATAAACAGAAAAACCGAAAGGACTTATTTGTCAACCGAATATAATTCATATAATAGATATAATTCATATAATCAAGAGAGAATGTATTCTGCTCCATAAGAAGAAGGTATAGGAAAGGTTAATGACACTAAGAGAATGTTTTAAAAAAAGGTTAACAAAGATAGAGCATAATTTAAACCAAAGGTCAAGGGATGGAGGAAGCAGGATGGATCCATGATCATTAAAAAGGATAATATACCAGGCCATTGCTTTGGTTACTTGGATAGGCCCTTTAAAGATGATGAAGGAAATCGAGATGATTTTGTGACCCCAATAGTCAGCAGTAAAGCCCCTTTTTATAAAAATATTAATATCTATCTAATGCTTTATGAATGGCTTCATATTATCGTAACCTACACCTTTTTTAACTATGAAAAATATCAAATTAATTATTTAATTTAATGAGATACTAAAAACCCACGAATCCCAATTCGCTTTCTCCTTGAATCGTACGAGAAGTTGATCACAAACTCAAGAAAAGAAGTGACCTACAAAAATATTTGGCCATTTGGCCTATAAAACCTCATTACTGTGACATGAGGATGTAGGTGACGCCAAACGACCCAATGTTTTTGCAGAGCACCTTTTTTCTCAATTTTGTGATCAAATTATCTGAAAATTAATGAGAATTAAATAATAAGAAAATTAATTTTAAAATAATAAGCATCTTATATACAGACCTAATTGCTGCCAGAGGAAGTACATAGCTAATCCTATTTCTAAAGGGGCAAAGACCAAATAACTTAGATAAGTCAATGTATGATTTATAGATTGAGAATCAACTGCCATCAAATTGACTATTTCACCCAAAGTAGTTTCCTTTCTGGCTGCATTAGACAGTTTAAGTGACTAAAACAGATAAAAACAAATTTATACAATAAACCCATGTACTAATTTTGAACAAACAGACAAAATTAAATAATAATAAAGAAAAGCGAAAGAACTACAGTATAATTTAATCAGTTGAGTAGTTTCATTATGTACACTATAATCAGAAATAATTTTAGTTAGAAATAGTAGTTGTCCATGATAGGCTGCACACTATATTGTCATAGATGATTCACTTTTCATCACTCATCACTATTCACTTGAGAAATGGGTCCCTTTCGTACCAGTTTAGAAGAGAGTTGCAGATTGATATTCAGTTGGCAAGGTTTGCCTCAGTCAGTTTCTGTGGCACCCAATCATCGAGATGGAAAACATAGAAAAGCTGTTTTAAATGCCTTTGATCCAATAAATCCCACCAAATTACCTTTACCCTTCGTCGTAAACCAACGACTTCCTGTCCTACAGTTTCCTTTAACAATACTAACAATACTCCACTTATCCCTGTTGAGCAAATCCGATACCTAGGACTCCACCTGGAGAAACGACTAACTTGGAATCCTCATACTAGACTGAAACGACAAGAAACCGCTCGACGTTTCCGATTACTTCAGCACTTACTAGACAAACGCTCTAAACTTCCCATTAATTACAAAAGACTCATATACTTGACTATAATAAGATCTATTTGGACTTACGGAGTTGAGCTATGGGGCTTCACTAAACTATCAAATTCCTCTCGCATCCAATCCTTACAATCCAAAATCCTTCGTAAAATCCTCAATGCTCCTTACTTTGTCACTAATAAAATTATCCATAAAGATCTTAATGTTCCTTATGTTTCAGATCTGGCCCAATCCAGATACCTATCCTTCCATAATAAACTTCAGAATCATCCCAACCCTCTCGTTTCTAACCTTGCTTCCTCTTCAATTCCTGATAACCCTCCGAGGCGTCTGAAAAGAAGATGGCCCCGTGATCTCCTAATGTAGTCATATCATTAGAGTGCTACCATTGGGTAGTTACTCAGCAAGTGTATTCATGTCATTATATCAATTATGTCCAAATTTACTTGATGTATTTATGTAATACAGTTGTAAATGTCATAAAGAAATAAAAAAAAAAAAAAAAAAAAAAATGCCTTTGCATGGTTCCAAAACCTATTTTCAGTGTCTCCGCTATTTCTTGAACCTGTAGCAACAGCTCTTGATTCGGTGGGCTGACCACTACGGAGTGTATCTCTGGAACAAAACTCGGCAAACCATTTTTGAGCAATAAGTTCTGTTAAGGCATCACCCATGTATACCTTACTCTATCGGTGGGCCTCCCAAGCTTGCTTACCTTTTTTGAAATAAAAAATCAAAATACACTAAAAATGCACTTTATCATTTGACATATTCATTATAATAACTGTAGCCATAATAACTGCAGCACAATCAAAACTAATGCAAATGAAATCAAACACAACAGTTTCGAAGTGCGGACTTCTTCATTTCCGATGTTTCATTATTGTCAGTTAAGGCAAAGAGAACTGAAGATATTTGAAAAAAAGTTCGTATTACGATGGATTTGAAGACCCACCCAATAATTAAGGAGGCCATAATAACATCTGCTTGCAGCAACAAATCTTGGTCTACCTCCTGGTTCATGTCATTGTCTAGTCATTACAGATTCTTAATATTTGAATTTTTGAAATCTTTAAATAAGTATACCAGCTTGGATGGTTAAACAAATTTGACATGGTTGTCAGATGTTGCATACTTGATCGGTTCCTCATTGACCATAAGTTCTATTAATTAGTAATTAGTACTTCCAAAAAGAAAGGAAAATCCTGGTTGCGAAAGCTTCCAATATTCAAAACACAAGAATCACTTAAAATGAATACTGATTATATATAAAAAAAGTACCTTTCTGTAAATGGTTGATACCAAGGCAGACCTAGTGCGCAGTCCGACCGTCATTTCAATCAAATCAGAATAGTTACGGATTAAAGGAATCACGATTCCTAGAAGGAGCATCATAGCAGCATAAAAATAGCCATGCCACATTGGCTCGTCACTTGACACAAAGTTTATAATTCGTCTGAAAAAAACATTCTAATTATTTTTAAAATTATTATTTTATTATACAAATTTATAAATATATTTTATAATATACTTAAAAGATAAATAAATAAATATTATGCAATAAATTGGCTATTATAGAATGAAGGCAATTCAATTTAATGTTTTGTTAGAGTAATATCAATGGGTAGTTTCTCAATAAGTGTTTTCATGTTATTATTTCTCGTTATCACATTTCCTGAATGTATTTTTATTCTTAATATAGTTTTAAATATCATAAATAAAAAAATTAAGAACAGTTTTTTTTTGTAGCTATAAATACTTAATAATGAAAAATATTTTTACTATTGTTTTACAAAAAAAAGTAATCGAATGAATGCAAAAGTGTTAAATATTATCTTTTTTAACATACCAATGGTATTGTAATATTATTTGATATTTAAAAACACTGAAAATTACTACACAGTAGTTTATTATTTTTTAATAGATGAGCCCAACAATAATAATGTTTTTTTTTATGTTTTGGTAAAAGGCATTTGAAGCTTCTAATTGGCCTCAATTTTGAAACAAAATGGTAGTAGGTAAACTGTGACTTTGGGGCCAAAACTAAAAATGGACTACTCACCTAAGAAGTTCTGGACTGACAAATTGCAACAATATCTGAATAAATTGGAGAAACATAGCAAAGAGGTAAGGTCCTCCAAATGCTTTACATAGAGCAAAGAGGATTGAAGCCTGCTTCTTAGGCTTGGGCACATTGTGACCTTCAACAAAATCAACTCCGTTAACTCCTCTTCTTATGTTTGACGACTTATCAGCTTCTCTGGAAAAATAATTTAAAAAATAATGATGCATATATAATGTTGCATTCAACAAAATGGAGGCCCCTTTGAACAGTCACTCTAAATGTTGTAGTAATAATAAATAAATAGTAATGATGAATAATAAATCTTTGACCTTTGATATCTGTTTAATAAATGAGTTTGAGATATATGTTAATATAAACTTTTTTGATTATTTTGTGTCAGTGAACACATACCTAAAATAGTGCCGTGCAATTACGAAACACCCTGTATATATATATTGTGATACCCCATTTACATTCATCTCACTTCTGTGGAAGTGGGCATTAAATTGGGCAGTGTGAGAATGTAAACATTCCACTAATTTTAATTTATTTTTTTAATTAAATAATATTTGAATGTTATTTCATTCAATATGTCTCTAATTCAGTTACTCTATTAATAGGCTAAAATTAATTATTCTCATACACTTTGTAACATTTGTTTTTTTTAAATTCTTAATAAGTGGTGGGCTCCCCCTTCTTCGGATTGCCGCCCTCCTCACCAATTGCCTTAGTTGCCCAACCCTAAGGTTGGCTCTGGTTTGGACTATTTTTTAGCGTCTTTATCCTGGTTTTTATTTTATTTGGTATAGTTTGCAAGTTTGGTCTTATAGTTTGAATTAATTTAATGATAATTAAGTATTACATCATTATATATATATATATATATATATATATATATATATATATATATATATATATATTTTTTTTGTTCATTCAATTAATATTTTGTTGTCTATATATGTCATGGAATCCTTGTAATCCAAATTATAAATTATAAAAAAATATATAAATTATAAAAAACATCGACAATGAATTGCCAGGCCCACAGCACCTTGCCGTTAAATTTTATATGTTGAGGAAAAAAATAAAACCAACATGGCTGGCAAGGGTGGGAGGAAAGTGTTGAATCCACAAAGGGCCAACAATTCAGATAGGAGTTGTCGGCAGGAGCAATAATAATACGAGGTAGCTCAATATAATTATTATAATCGAAGAAAAATAGTTGTTCAAAATATTATGAACACCGATGCTTCTAAAGCCTCTTCGTCAATAAAAGCCTCTGCAAACGTGAGGATTATGAAAATTGTGCTCCGACGCCAAATTTAACATCCATTGAAAAGTAAAACATATGAATTATTAATTGGAAGGGGACTCACTGTTTTATTTTACTCTCAATAGGTTTTTGTTGGGATTTGACCACTGCTCATTTTCTAATTCTGTCATGATATTGCTTGTAAATCTTTAGCAAAGCATATTGGTGTTTTTAAAATATCTGTTCACTGGAAAAATTCTCTCAATGGGATCTCCCAGTACCTGTTGATGCTGGCTAATTTTAAATATACCAGAGTATTACTGCAGATCCGCCTCTTGGGAAAATACTTGATGAAAATATCAGTCAACAATCAAATTTTAAAAATCAATCCACAACCTGATGCAAAATGTTTAATAAAATGGAAAAAAATACACTTAATCATTTATTATTTTAATGCCCAAGATATAGTAATTTGAGAGTAAGAACTTACCGGGGTATGGGAAATCTTAATGGCATCGAAATATTCAAGCCAACCACTAAAAATGATATGAGAAAATTATATTTTTTCCATCTATAATATATCTAATTATAGTGAATTAGTGGGGTCATCTAAAATATTGTCCTTTAAGTATTGTAATAAAAATGTAGATTGGATGTCGGCATGAATTACCGATAAATGTTGAACGGATTTGTTTGGGTCTTGTTCTCTTGTTTGTTTCTTTGTTCATATGAATAATCTGGCAATTTAATTTTATTATATGATTTGATATTAATATTTAAAGCATAAAATTTATTTATGGTTGTTTATGTGTTCTATTGATTATTTTAGATTTTATACTGATGTTGATAACTGGCATTGTTTTAACTATCTGACTTTTTAATAAATATGATTTTTAAGTTATCCTTTAGATTATTGTATTATTTATAATGTAGCATAAAAAGGAAAAAATATATTGTAATGCAATAAGGCTAATAATGTTTATAATATAGATATAGACTCTATTTGTATGGGGTTCTTACCTAAAAAAAAAATAAAGATTAAAACAAAATTGTTCAAATAAAGAACAGATTAAAAATAATTATAAATGGAGTTGAGAAAGGTAATAACATTAAATTAGTAATTTTTTTTTTAAATTTATTAACCTTGTAAATTAAGTGGAAATCTTAATAAAAAATACTATTACTAAGTACTAAAATACTATTAACAAGTACTATTCTTCCTTTACCTCGGACATGTAAGAAAATAAAAAACACATATTGTGACTCCATTTAACCATTCAAGCAAAAAATATTAAATTAGTCAGATCTTCTTAAAACATCAGAAATATATTGGAGACTAATATTTGTAACTTATGATAAAATAAGATAAAAAAAAAAGAAGTTTTTTCTTAGACAGACAGAATTTTCTATTTCTTATGTGTTGTTACTACATATCCTTAGTGAGGAATCTTTTTATCATTAGAGGCCGCAGTAAGGCTAGGCAATGACAATGTAGGCCGCAATAATTCTTTATATTTTACCGTTGCTATTTTTATTAATCAGTAAATACACATCCATTCAAATTTGCATAACCTAACTAATTAAACATTAATTAATTCTAGTGCTATATTAATGAAGACCGTGAAAAAACGTTCTGGGGCTGCTGATTTCCCACCTGTGCTATGTACAATGGTATTAAAGTCTATTTTTACAATTGAATAGATCTAAATAGCATTGTAGTATAACTACTAATTGTGATAGTCAATTAAAGTGTCGTTACATCAATTAGTAGCTTTTACTTAATAAACAAGGCTACTCACTTATTTTTCTTTTTTTGTTCAGCGAGCCAGAATCTGTTAAAATGATTGAAAATTTGTGTAGCTGCATCTGTATACTTCATCGGCCAAAGATCGCTCTCTACCAATGGTCTCTTGTACCCTTTGTACACCATTGTATCAAACCAAGACAGTAAAAGCCGAGAAGGGTATGGTGCCCCATCCTCTGGATTAGAATTCTGTAGATTATACAAATAATATAAACATACATAATCAATGAAAAAAAATAAATAAAACCTATACCATTACATTCCATTATATCTACGTATTCATTTTTTCATAGTTAAGGCAAAAACAGGAAGCTGCTGGAAGCCATACATATTACAAAAAACAATAATAGAACAGTAAACTATAAAACATACAAAACACTTGGGTACACACTATTCGGACATAATATCCAATATAGAAATAAAAAAAAAACAACATTAGAAAAAAAACACAACAAGCAGCCATAATAAGAAATAAGAGGACAAGTACAAAGTACAGTAATGATATTGAAGAAAGCCAGATGTAGGTTAGTGTAACAATGAATAAGAAAGGATGTGTAACACCAAATAAATTTATAATGAATGTGACAAATATTTAAATTTTTTGACAAATGATGCCACATCAAAAAAGCAAGGTAAATAATTGTACAATAGGTGAAATAGATTGGTACTGTAAAAATAGTTTATTTAAAATGTGCATAGTTTCAGTGAATATAAGGAATGCTCTAATGATTGGAAAATTGTCCCGAAACGTGGGAGATAATAAATGGGAATAAAGAGATTTGAAGGAAATTGGAAGTTTTTTTGTCTTAACTATGAAAAAATATATAAATGTAGGCTTCCTAATAAAAAAAAAAAATAAAAAAAGGCGTAGCTCAGTGGTTCAAATCCTGACGTATGGCAGGTAAATTATTTATTCTGTTTCATCAGCTCTGAATAGACATTCGGGTCGAGAGAATTTCAGGGGCACATCCAGTCTCTATATAGTGGTTACTCTTAATTAAATAATTGATAGAGGGGGAAAACGTGGCTGTTGGTTGAGTATTATATCCATCAAATCATCATATTGCACAGCCCTTGACAAAGAAACAGTAGCTTCTCTACGTGACACTTATCCAAAGAACCCTTCATGGGTTGTAGAGGTACAGAAATATAGCAAGAACAAATATTCAAAACAGATTCATTTAATAATACTTTACTATTAAAATATATTTAATTTATATAGTGATAAATGAAGAAAATTTAATATATAGATAATTATAAACCTAGCAATATTATGAAGACCAACACAGGATCAAATCTATTGCAGAGAAATCATGTACATTATACTTTTCTAAAACAGAGAAAGGCTAAAATTAAAAATACAACTTAGAGCTACGAAATTCATTCACTATGATACTCTTGTTCACCTGAAGGTACCTTTGTACTTGTTGACAGAAAATTGAGACAATCTTTGTACCAAAGAGTATATATTATGAAAGCTTCTGTATATTAGTTCAAAATAAAAAGCTTACTCTTACAGTTGTTGCACAGATTATTTCTAACAGGGTATTCATTGTTAAAACCTGGCACAATGTTGAAGGAAGGAAGTCATGTCGAAAATTCTAAAGAGCTATAGCTGTCAAGATTTATTTGCAAAAGCTATTCTGGAGATATGTATACAAAGAGATATATATTTTTTAAAAAATCGCATCGAATCAAATTTTACTTCGTTAATGAATATTTGCATTGAATTCCAAAGCACAAGGTCCTGAGTTCGAATGACCAGTACTTTTTCATCTGTCATGGATCGATCCTGGGGTCGGGAGATCCTCCTGGGTCACACCCAACCTAGATAAAGTGGGTACTCGTAATTAAATGGGAAAACTTGGCGGTTGAGCGTGATCTCGGCCCGATCATCTCCTTGCACAACAGCCTTGACTTGAAACAGCACTTTCTTACAAAGTACTGAATCCGATACCCTTCATGGTTTGTAGTGCTACAGGTGTTTTTTTTTGTTTTTTTTTCTAATATTTGACAACTATTTACTTGTCCTATCCTGGGAACGTCTTTTTAGTTTCTCATACAATTTTTTTTTTATTTATTTATTTTAAATGATATTTACAACTGTATACAAAAAAATACATCTAGTAAATTTGCACATTGGTATAAAGACATGGAACACATGTTGAGAAACTACCCATTGGTAGCACTCTAATAATATGTCTATATTAGAAGATCACGTGGCCATCTTCTTTTCAGACGCCTCGGAGGGTTATCAGGAATCGAACAGGAAGCAAGGTTAGAGACAAGAGGGTTGGGATGGTTATGAAGTTTATTATGGAAGGACAGATATCTGGGTTGGGCCAAATCTGATACATAAGGAACATTAAGGTCATTATGGATAATTTTATTTGTAACAAAGTAAGGAGCATTGAGGATTTTACGAAGGATTTTGGATTGCAAGGACTGTATGCGAGAGGAATTTGAAGGCTTGGTGGAGCCCCATAGCTCAACCCCATAAGTCCAAATAGGCCTTATTATAGTCATGTAAATCAGTCTTTTATAATTGATTGGAAGGTTAGAGCGTTTGTCTAGTAAGTGTTGAAGTAGTCGGAAACGTCGAGCGGTTTCTTGTCGTTTCAATCTGGTATGAGGATTCCAAGTTAGACGTTTGTCCAGATGGAGTCCTAGGTAGGTAACGGATTTGTTCAACAGGAATAAGTGAGGTGTTGTTAAAGGATACTGAAGGACAGGAAGTCATTGGTTTACGCTTATACATATGAAATAATTTAAGACTCGGAAATATCTTATTCGTATATCACAGAAACAAATAAATCGTTCGCTATATAAATACCTTGAAACAAGTGCAGAGAAAAGGAATAAAAACAGTGATATAATGATATAAATGTTTATATTATAAATATCTTAGGATCTACGGGGGAGGGAGGGCTTTCGGGCTGAAGCTCCCCTCCCCTCCCCTTCCAAAATGGTAAAATATAACCATGTTTTATGAAAAAAAAAATTAAAAAATACCTCTTAAACTATTATTGTTCGTTTAATTACATTTAAAAGAACTTAAGGAATCACTTAAACACCAGTTCATATAAGTGGTTAGTTTCTTTCTGTTTTTCCAAAGTAATTATCGTTATTTTTATGAAAAAAAAGCTTTCAGGCTGAAGCCACTCCCCCAAATTAAATCCTGGATCCGCTAGTGTTATAAATAATTTTTTTTTTCACTGCTCGTAGGGCGCATCAGCAAAAATCCTCGGACGTCGAGTTGAATATTTTTTGAATTGAGGATTCCCCTGTACTTTCGCTTGCATAATGTGTAAAAAGAGAAGAGCACTCAAATTTCTTGGGAAGAGAGAGTTCATGCATCATCGACCTTGTGAGGATGGGCACCCTAGTTTTTCGACCGACAACCACCAAATCCTCTTTGCGAGTCTTGGCTGCTTCACAATTTTCCCATTCAATTGGATTGAAAATTTACGGACTCAGATTAAAACAAAATAAAAATATCTATTCGAAATGAAAACTATCTAAAAGAAAAATTAAGTTTTGAGAAGAATAAAATCGAACTATTATTATATTACTTAGATCAATATCTCAAAAACCATAATGTGTGATTAAACTAAAACATACAGTATAGATTGATATTTGTTTCGGGAAGTTCATCAGACCTAGGTATTAGTTCGTGCCATGAAGCAGCATCTTTGTTGAATATGTCTATCCGTTTTTTGTATTCCCACGCAGTCACCTCCCAACTACTGCGGCATTCATTGTTGTGTAGAGACGTCTTCATGGATTACTTCGAGCTATAGCTTACAATCTTTGCCTTAAGGTTACGAAATATTGACTGACCAGTTCGTTATTTATTGTTCCTCCTCCTCAATGCCCCCCTTTTTTTTCTCCCTGTTCTTCCCTACCTCGCCTTTTAGGCTATACGGGGTTTTCCAGGGCCGGAGGGTGAGGGCGGGGGAATTTAAAATCCCCTCTGGCACCGGGACGCGAACTCGTACTTTTTTTTTCAATCTCAAAACTTAAGAGTTGTGCACACACGTTAGGCCATTCGACCACCCCGTGTAAAATAAGCCGTGTATATCCTCAGCTACTTCATATCGTTTTTTGATTGCATGTTTTAGGAAGAAGATCTTGTCTAGGGTACTCACCCTCTTCTAAAATTTGCTAAGTGGTTGCATTTTATTTTTTTTAAATATGGATATATTCTATACTAGCCGATCAACCAGTTGACAGGTGTGTAGTTAAAATTTGAGAATCTTTTTTTGGGATGGATTTTGTGTTATGGAGAGGGGGGAGATCCAAATTTATGTATCTTTTTTTTAAGGTCAGATTTCTAGACAAATTACTTAAGAATTCATAATTTTAGTTTTGTTTTTCTATTCAATATTTTGTTTTTACTCAAAGCCTGTTTTAAGTCAAAAAAACCTAAATATAATGTAAAAATTTCAAGAATATACCATTATCTATTGAGTCACCTTCAACCGCGTAAAATTAGAACTTGATCTGAATATTGTGGTGGACGGGGTGAAATCTTTAGGAATTTTTTTTTGTTTTCGATTTACGGCTAATCTGTTTGGTTAATCCTAAAAATTTATACGACAACATTTGTTAGACTCGGGAAGTTGAATCGAATGACACTTTGAACGGGAAGATCAGACAAAGTTGAAAAATTAGTTAGTAGAAAAATTAGCTTTACAGATGTTCGAGATTTCGGATTTTTCCAGTTGAGTTGTAATATTTTTTTCCATCAGTTGAATAATACAACTTTTAAATGTAGCTCGCGGTAGATTAGGTTCGGATGAGAATCGAAGTAACTGCCTAACCGGGATCTCTAGACAAATTGCTCAAGAATTCATAACTTTGGTGGTTCTCAATATTTAGTTTTCATTTAAAGCCTACGTTTTAAGTCAAGCAAACCTAAATATAATTTCAAAAGTCTACCATCTGAGCTTACCCCTGACAAAATTCGTTAGAAAATGCATACCGACAGATAAAAAAATATTTAAAAGCAGATTTAGTGTTTGTCATGAATGAAACGGAAAAATATCATGAAACGGGTTGATTCTATCCAATGTACCGACAAAACTTTTATTTTATTTATATAGATGTCCATGTTATTAACTAATTCGTACATAGAGCTCCTTTTAGAGCTATTTAGTATTGTGTATTGATACCGCGCTACTGAATTAATTTAACTTTTCTACGAATTATATATTTTTGAGTAGTTTTCGGCCAAAAAATGTAAAATAAAGTTTGTTTTTTTTGTGAATGTTGTTCTTATTAAAATGTTATATCCTCTCAGCATCGACTAATGGGTTAAAACATATTAATAAATGAAAACAAGAACAAAGAAATTAAAAAATAAAAATCGTTGCACATTATGAATACTTCTTATGTCAGTGTATTTGTATCTTAGTACCGCCAGATTTTCCAAATAATAATTTTAAGTAATTACAAATCTTTTCAAATAACCTAAAATATAACTTGGTAGTATTTGAAATATAATAACACATATTTGGCAACACTTGAGTGCTGCTATCTGTAAACTACATTCAATGATAAATACTGATTACATGACCATCTAAGCCGACTGAAACAATGATACAAAATTTGATAAGGTTTTATAACCAACTGAAGAAAACTGTTTGTGAGTAGATAGATAGAAATTTATTTGTTTTGGGGGGTTCCCCATACAAATAGAGCTTAGCTTGGCTATTGTAGAATAATATGGTTTTACAGGTTACATCCATATCATTTAAATAGAATGGATTTTACAAAACATGAATAACTATAAAAATTAAAAACATAAAACGATTACTGCATAATAATAGTTATATGAACCTGTTACTATGATATAAACAATAAAAAATAAAAATATTTATATATATAAACAAAATATTACATTTAAGATAAACTAAAAACAAACACTTAATAGAACATGGGCTGTGGTCAACAATTTTGTGTATTCCCATCATATAATAGTAAACTTTATTCAACTTATCTATACAACGATATTCAATATAATTTCGATGTTGTGGTTATCAAAATATTCTGAGATGAAGTTTTGAAGGAATTTTTGTCTATAGTCATTGTATGCTGGGCAGTGAAGGAGAATGTGATGTAGACTGTTGTAGATAAATTGATTGCATGATATAAAAGTTTCTTGACACTTAATCGAAAAAGTTGTGTTTTTTGCATAGATTCTCATATGTTCTGGGTTTGTAATTCTTAATTGACTAACACATCTCAATCTGTTTATATAGACTTTGAACGTAATGTAAACTGTTTGTGAGTATACACGTTTTTAAATAGCTATTATAGAAGAAAATGGCTACTCAACAACTCGATATTAACAATTTTTAGCTTTTGCGTAATTATAATCGAAAATATAATTATGATTACGCAAAAATTGTACAATTTTAAATACTTTGGTTGAGCGATTTTTCTTCCAATAAAAAAAAAAAAAAAAGCTACATTTGCCGATTTCTCTGCTGAAATGTTCATCAATGACTTCTTTTTTTAAAACTCCATATATTGATCTTCACCTGTCAACGAACTGTTGACAATCAGCAGATGGTCTGATAAAAATAATGAAACTGACATATCAGACATGAGGAAGGATAGTTGCCAGCAGTACATCTTCTCTGGTTTGATTTAATTACCATGGTTTGTTGAGGAAGATCTATCATCCAACGCTTTTTTTAATCTACTGCTTGTATTTTGATTTTTTCTTTGAAAAAGTTGCTAAAAACTTTGTCTTTGACTTCTACTAAGAATTTTTTTAAAAATTCCTTCGACAGAACATAAAATAATACAAAATTGTTTATAGAAAATTCATTACTGGCACAACAGACGCATGCTCAATTTCCTTTGCACAGTCATTTCTGACAAGTTTTCTATTTCAAGTCTTCTTTTACGTTATCTATCCATCTTCAGTCTTTCCCTTGACCTAACTCCCTCTGGCTTCCCATGATAAAGCCTTCTCGCTGTCCTTGCTTCATCCATTCTCATGACATGTCCTAAACATTTCACTCGCTGCACTCGAGGGAATTGGGAGATAGACAGATCATTGTACATTGAGTATACCTCCTTGTTCCTTCCTCCAGTTTAGATCCTCTTATCCGTTTTAGTATTTTCCTTTCAAACCGATCTATTCGTTCTGCCTTTGTTAGAGTCCATGTTTCGCACGCATATGTTGCAACTGGCCGAATAATCGTTTTGTATATCCTAAACTTCGTTATACGACTTAACAATCTACTTTTCAGAAGGCTCGCTAGAGAAAAGTACGCTCTGTTGGCAGCCATTATCCTAGCACCTATCTCCTCCTCTTCGTTATTGTTAATTTCAATTATGGACCCGAGGTAGGTGAAGCTTGATACAGCTTGAAAAGTATGGTTTCCCAAGACATAGCGCTGTGGTGGAGGAACAAACTTTTTCTTCCTTAAAACATGGACCTTGGTTTTACTTTCGTTGATGCATAGCCCCATTTTCCCTGCCTAATTTTCCAACCTACAGAATGCACTCTTCACTGCTAGAAGTGATCGGCCTGCAATGACCACATCATCAGTATACGCGAGCAGTTGGGTCATTCTGTGGAATATTGTTCCTCCGTTATTTAATCTTGCCCTTCTCATGATGGTCTCTAGAGCAATATTAAAGAGGATTGGGGCTAATGAGTCATCTTGTCTGAGGCCCGAATATAAAGAAAATAAATAATTGTTTATAGAAAAATAAATAAGTAATATGTCATTTACCGTTACTGGAGGATGTTCTGATTGCGTGGGTGGCAGGTCTGAAACGCAGTAAAGCAAGAGCATTAAGAAGGACAAGCAATAGCTTGTTATGTTTGATATCCTCAATATTTCTGTCTGTTCCTGTAAAAGGAAATAATTAATACAATATTGCTAAGACATATATATAGTTAATATAATAATATAAGTCCTTGTCTATATCTTACATCCAAAATTTGACCCTCAATGGAGGTGTAAAACGATGAAAATCCTAAGAATGCCACTAAGAACCAGAATAAGAAAAGAAGCCCGGACGTTCTCTGGCCATGTTTTCTGTGGAATATTACTAATGTAATACATAATGCCTAAAATCATAAACAGTTAGTAAATAATATTTAAATAAATTAGTAATAACTAATAGCAAATATTGTATACTAACCAAGGATATAGCTTTTATCACAGGAGTGTATACATCAACGGGGTACGTTGGATCACTTCGAAATAAGTTGTACAAGAATTCAAATACATTTAGAACCATAAGAAGGCTGAGAGACACCTGCAAGATTTAATGGTAATAATAAAAAAATCTGGCGTGTCCACTCGCATAGCTTTCCTGTCTATTTCAGAAAAGTTTTTATATCTTTAAATATGTCCACCAAGAATAAAAAAAAATTGTATTAGATTTATTTTCCTGAAAATTGATCAAAAAAAAATATTTTAGTACGATTTATTTGATAAACTAAAGCAATGTAAAACGGCTTGTGCTAGATTAGTGTAACAATTTCAATACCCTCTAATATTGCTATTTTTATATACTTTTGTACGAAACTTCATTATCTTTAAAAAAAAACAGGATAAACAGTCTTTTTGGGGGGCTCTATAAACCTATAGATCCGCCGAAAACCGCATTTCGGGAATTTGACCCGACCGCAATACTTTCCTTACCTAGTACAGTATTGGTAAGTAATAAATAAAAAACATGTGTAGAAAATAGAATACGCTGTATCATCGCTAATACTGGTTCGATTCCGATGATATTTTTTTTTTTTTTTTTGTTTTGTTGATAATTTTTCATGAATTAGATTTACGAAAATTGAAAGGACAATTATTATAACATTATAGGAAAGTTTCATCAAAATCGTTAGGGTCGTTTTTGCGCTAAATTCTATAGAAAAATATGTTTTTCACTTTGAAATAGAAATAGAAAATAACTTTATTCTGGGACAATGTCCCTTTAGAATAACAAAATAGAACATAATTAAAATACTACATCTGGCCAAAATAAAACAATAATAAAAAAGAGAAAGTAAAGAAAATATTAGTTAAACAAGCTATATACAAAAAAAAAAAAAAATCTATATACAAAACACTTAAAACTATGATAAAACACTTAAGGCTATGTACAGTAGAAAAAATTATAATTATACTCTTTTGAAAAATAAAATAATAAAAAATATATTGAGTTCTTCTTTAAAATGAGGTGTGTTTCTGCTAACAAAGAAAAAACAAAGCTGACAATATGAAATATCAGTGTCTTTAAATAATGGTTAATATGTAGACTCATCATTGTCAAATGCTAGAGATACAGATTTAATTATATAACAATAAAAAAAAAAAAATGCAAACAATAGATGCGGTCAGTGGCATTAAGAGCCGGAAAATATTGTAATATCCCTAATGAAGTTCACAGTATAGAATAGCACTATCGTTTGATGATGACTAGAAATGTATAATATCGAAAGTTTAGCAAGTATCTGACTGTTTTTGGGATAGGAATTGGAATAGGAGGGATTTGAATGTGCATATGGAGGGGGAATGCCGAATTTTGATAGCCGTTTTTGAGAAAATTGTAAAAATGTGTTTCGCCGTTTATATAAAGTGGCACTTCCGTTTAGCCGATTTTAACGAAAAAGTTTTGCTGTCACATCCGGTCCATATACAAACCTTAAATACTTAATATCAGTTTCGTACTACTTATGATCTTCGTTATGATCTCTTAGTTCACCTTTAGTTAATTATCAAATTCTTTCATATTTTTTATTTAACTATCTATTATATTAGATATTAATACCCAAATATTAATTTAGATATTAATATTAATTTTCAATATTATATTAAATATTGAAAATTAGCCATTTAAGCCCTGTTATAGAACATCAATCAGAATAAAACCTTATTGCTCAGGGAGTACCCAATTTGTGCCCCAAGCATTAGTAATCAAAACCCTACAAAATAAAAAAAGAAGCAACAAAATAGGTTCTCTAATTACCAAGAAATTCTTGGCACAGGCAGACAGATGATATCGTAAAGTATTTCGGCAACGTATGTTACTTTTACAACCAATAGATAGTGCTTCTTAAAAGAAAAAATCATATTTTCACCTGATATTTTATAATAAGAGGTATATTTTCAATTATGAAAAATTGTCAAAGCAATCAGTGAACTTTTCGAAATCTTAATAATAGTAATAATAATAATAAAAGGCTTAGCGAACCCGGAGGTTCGATGCCGACACCACCAATCGCTTATTACACACCTCCCTCCACCGTTCGCCGACCAAACCCAGTCCGTTCAGATCGGCTTTAATGCAATCTTCCCACCTTCGCTTCGGTCTACCCCTCGGACGCTTACCATTCGGCACAGCAAATATTAACCTTTTAGGGATTCTCTCGTTACTAAGCCCAACAACTTTACAAGCCCATTTGATTCGCCGCGATCAAATTACCTCAATTATATTAGCCGGATACAGCTCACGCAATTCGGCGTTGTGTAACCGTCTGAACTCCCCGGTTAACTCATCCTTCTTCGGTCCGAATATTTTACGCAATACTTTATTTTCAAAAACCTTAAGACGCTGCTCATCCCTTAATGTAAGGGGCCAAGTTTCGCATCCATAAAGAACTGTAGGCAAGATAATTGTTTTATAGATTCTAATTTTTAAGTTGCGGGACAAGAGGCGCGAACTAAGTAGTTTTATCACAGAAAAATAACAAGCATTTCCCGCCTTCAGTCTAACCTTAATCTCTTCTTCAATTTCGTTTTTTCGAGTTATCGTAGAACCTAGATACCTAAATTTCTCTACCTGTTCAAACATATTACCATCTATATCGATATCACCAGTAGTATCGCCATTTTTGCAGCTAACCATATATTTTGTTTTATCCAAGTTTATTTCGAGTCCTAGTTCTTTACCGGCTTTCATTAACGTTGTCGTATTTAGTTTTATAGTTTCAACCTCTTCGCTTAACAGTACCAGATCATCAGCATGGCCCAGCACGGATGTTGTCCCGCCCCGATCCAACACTTTCTCGGTTCGCATTACCTCCCTAATGGCATGTTCTAATGCCAAATTGAACAGAACAGGCGAAAGGGAATCCCCCTGTTTTAAACCCGAACGAACCTCAAATTTTTCGGACAAATTATTACCGATTCTAACTTTATTGAGTGTCTCCGTCAAGCACATCCTGACTAGATTTACTAGTTTTTTTGGAATCCCCTGCTCGATTAGAATATTATACAGTTTCTGGCGGTCAATAGAATCGTAAGCCTTTTTAAAATCTATATACAGCTGGTGAACAATACCGTTATACTCCAATTTTTTCTCTAATATTTGCCATAAAGAAAATATTTGATCAATAGTCGAACGATTCCGTCTAAATCCGCATTGGTAGTCTCCGATAATTTCCTCGGCGTATTCCGTGATTCGACTGGTTAAGATTAAAGTGAATATTTTATAACATAGCGGAAGGAGTGAAATTCCTCGATAGTTATTACAATCCGTCCTCGGGCCCTTTTTGTGAATCGGAATAAGAATAGATTTTTTCCATTCTTCAGGTAATTTCTCGTTAACCCAGATCTTTTTAACCAACCGATGTATTTTAGCAACTCCAGCTTCCCCGCATGCCTTAATTAGTTCAGTAGGAATATTATCGGTTCCCGCTGCTTTATAAGATTTTAATTTTCCGATAGCTACTTCAACTTCCTCTTTACTTGGTCCTTCTATTAACGGTTTTTCGAAATCTTAGATTTTGAAAAAATGATTTTATTTGACACCATCAAAGTATTATGAAAAACATATTAAAATAGTGTGCATGCTATCTCCTTCATTTTCGATTTAACCAGACTAAGCCAGAGCACCGTGTGGTAAAGTGTTAATGGTAAAGCTTGTGTCTATTAAAAAAAAAAAAACAATGATTCTTAACCTATATATCATTAATCCACACTTAAATACATAAATCTGAAATATTTGTCTATTTGAACAGACTAATCTTAGGAACTACCTGTCCGTTTTGACAAATCGTTTTTGCGTCAGATAGGGCAAGTTTCTAGTCACAGTGCTAATTTGATTGATGGATTACATAATGGATGAATCCAACACTGATGGACTATGGTTTCCAATTATGAGTTTAGGAACGACCTGATGGATTCCAACAGAAGGTTACAAACACGCTGAAAATTTAAATTATTAAGGAAATACCTATCTACTGGGATGGTTCCAGAAATAGTTTTGGGGAAGGAAATCATCAGGATTACCACAGGATTTAGGAGAGATATTACTTTGCCTATGTGAGAAATTGTAATAAATCGATCTTCTAATTGTTTCATTTTTCTTAATATTTAATATCGGTTATCGTATGAAAAGCACAAGATAATTAATTAATTCCATTGACATATCTACAAAGATTGATTACACATAAGATGAGTTAATTTAAATTTTTTCTTAACCTAATGAATGATAGTATTGGTACCAGTAGGTAAATCCTCCCCCCCCCTTTTTCACTCCCGTGGATCTGGCGCTGGGCTTTTCATATCCAACGATCCGTAGGAACATATGAATTATTATAAAAAATAATTCCTTTTTACTTTCATTTGAATATGTATGAAATTACCTATGGTAGTATTGCGAGTATTGGCAAGTATTGCGATCGTGAAAATTTTTGAGTCTAAGTTTTCAACGGAAATACATGTTTTAAGGTCTCCTGAGTCCAAATAACGTAGTCCCGCAAAGTGATCTGTGTGTGTGTGTGTTTACAATCTAGCTCAAAAACGAAAAGTTAAATTGCATATTTAATGTTTTTATATGCTTGGGATGATATAGAAACGTTTTCGCCAAAATCGGCTAATCGTAAGTGGTACGTTATATCATGGACTAAAAACATGTTTACGAATTTTTCGAAAACGGCTCTAACGATTTTGATTAATAACCAAATAACCAATTCTCGCAAAATGGTCTGCGTCTGTGTGTGTGTATATATGTGAACAGTCTAGCTCAACACCGGAAAGCCGTATGAGAGAGAAATTGCATAATTAAGGTTTTTATATACCTCAGATGTTACAGCAACATTTTCGTCAAAATCGGCTAACCTCAAATGCCACTTTACATCAACAGTGAAACATATTTTTCTCAAAAACGGCTCTAACGATTTTGATTAAATTTATTACATCAGTGTAAAATTTAGCAGTTTAAATTTTTTTTTTATTTCTTTATGACATTTACAACTGTATTACATAAATACATCAAGTATTTAATTGATATAATGACATGAATACACTTGCTGAGTAACTACCCAATGGTAGCACTCTAATGATATGACTACATTAGAAGATCACTGGGCCATCTTCTTTTCAGACGCCACGGAGGGTCATCAGGAATTGAAGAGGAAGCAAGGTTAGAAACGAGAGGGTTGGGATGATTCTGAAGTTTATTATGGAAGGATAGGTATCTGGATTGGGCCAGATCTGAAACATAAGGAACATTAAGATCTTTATGGATAATTTTATTAGTGACAAAGTAAGAAGCATTGAGGATTTTACGAAGGATTTTGGATTGTAAGGATTGGATGCGAGAGGAATCCGACGGTTTAGTGGAGCCCCATAGCTCAACTCCGTAAGTCCAAATAGGTCTTATTATAGTCAAGTATATGAGTCTTTTGTAATTAATGGGAACTTTAGAGCGTTTGTCTAGTAAGTGCTGAAGTAATCGGAAACGTCGAGCGGTTTCTTGTCGTTTCAGTCTAGTATGAGGATTCCAAGTTAGTCATTTGTCCAGATGGAGTCCTAGGTATGAGATTTGCTCAACAGGGATAAGTGGAGTATTGTTAAAGGAAACTGTAGGACAGGAAGTCGTTGGTTTACGACGAAGGGTAAAGGTAGCAGTTTAAAATAAAATATAAGTTTATTCTGATTGATGTTCTCTAACAGGGCTTAAATGGCTAATTTTCAATATCAACTTCCCCTAAAGTTCTTTTATTTTTTTTATTTGAAACAATTGACCATTTCACATTAATATCTAATATAATAGATAGCCAAATATAAAAGAATTTGATAATTAACTTAAGGAAAAATAAGATATCGTAACGGAGAATAGTTGTAATTGATCGCACCTGAGCTAGCCCGAAAAATTAGAACATGCTTCCATACGTAAGATAAGCTTAATATAATAAGAACTGCGACAATATTATGTAAATATACATATTCGGGTTCCATATATGCTATTGTTGGTATTATTTAATAAATATTAAAAATTATTAAAAGTATTAAATAATAAAAATACCCACAATGATATATAAATCAATATAGCGTTTATAATGTTTACTTTCACTTCCCCTTTGTCTAAAAATACTAATTTATGTTAAGAGGGTGGTAAATGAAAGTTGTGTGATGCGCCCACCGTAACAGATATTTTTTCTTTAAATAGTTTAACCAAAAAAGATTCTATGTTAAAATAAAACATTTAAACTCAATAAGAATGGACCAAGAGAGACTAAACGAGAAAGTCTTTGACAGAATCCGCGAATACAAGAGTGTAAGAGTATATGTAAAACAAATGAGAGAGGAGACAAAAAAATAAAAGAAATTAAGGTCCTTGTGGAAAATAAAGTAAATCGGAAGTGTACTGCGTCGTCGATAGAGAGGAAGATAAGGTACGCAGAAATGATGAGAAGGGAATGGAAGAAGAGAAAAGCGAAAACGAGAAAGGATGACAATCGTGTGGCCCGCCACCAAAAAAAAAAAAAAAAAAAAAAAAAAAACTGAAGACCTTCTATTTTAGCAATTATTCCTATGAATGAAATATGCATGTATGATATACAATGAAGGCACTAAATCAGCGCGTTGTAGCCTTTTTTGAGTTGTTCTCTGTTACAAGAGTTTACACATGTTCTCAATGAACTAATTAGTTCGTCCATGGTAAATTATGGAATATAAGGATGGGGTCGCATGGCATTGGTCGCATAATTGTTTTAATGAGGGCAGTCCTAAAATAAAATGATTTATTTGCGATATTCTTCAAGGCCGAAGTTGAAATATTTCAATCGCTTTCAAAAAGTTTTAAAATATATATTTTACGATAAAAATATAAATAAACAAATTTAGCAAAATTTTCTTAGTTTTGAAACAGTTATGCATATATAAATATATATATATATATATATATATATATATATATATATATATATATATATATATATATATATATGCATAACTGTATTTTTATATTTATATTTTTCAAACTTTTTGAAAGCGATTGAAATATTTCAACTTCGGCCTTGAAGAATATCGCAAATAAATCATTTCAATATATATATATATATATATATATATATATATATATATATATATATATATATATATAATTAATAATAAATTGAAAACGTTTTATATTAAGTCAGTTTTTTTTAGTGATTGTTTATTTTGTTTTCTCACATAAATTTTTGATATTATTTAATTAGCCCGATGAACTTGTTGGTCATGTATAAAACAGGTGTATGAATCATATATATATATATATATATATATGTATATGTGTATATATATATTTATATGTATATATATACTTCATACACCTGTTTTATACATGACCAACAAGTTCATCGGGCTAATTAAATATCAGAAATTTAGGTGGAAAAACAAAATAAACAACTACTTAAAAAACTGACTTGATAAAAAAGCGTTTTCAGTTTGATGACTTTATACTAACACTTTTTTTAACCAACATGTCATGCTTTAGGCAATTTAAAAAAAAAAACTAATGGGTGTGCTTTAGACCACACAATAGAAATGAAAGAATCAACAAGGAGAGATTAAGAGATCAATAATATGATATATAAATTATAAACAATAGATCATTATAAAGAGGATGAAATGCTGAACATTTCTCTCGCTTACAGTATACAAGCCCGATTTTTAGTTTTTGAGATATTTTAATCCATATGGAAAAACACTTCAATTAGTCAACTCCAACCGATTTTGTCCGAGTTTTAAACATCGGATATCTGACGGCCCAATCTAATTCACTCTCTAGTAAAAAAAGTGCAAAACGCAGTAGTTTCCACTTTAAAAAAAACTTACATCGCTACTATAATATAAGATGGTATTCCATAAAAAAAAGACAGTTATATTCTATATCCTCTGCTTATTCATTAATCGATCACTGTTTTGGCAATTTTAAATTTATACAAGTTAAAAATAAAAATTGATTATACATAATAAAAATATATAAAAAACTCACAAGCTTTAGGATATTTCTCCAATTCCAAGGGATATTTCTCGATTTGCTGGTATATATGTAGAATAAATCAATCACCAAGAATATCCATAGAAAGAAACAAGGGATCCAAAATACTGTCTTTTCCATGCAATGTGTCAAACGTGGTGATTCTGTATTCCATGTTATATTTGCGTCCTGAAAGTATAATAACATTATAATATAATATAATACACAACAAGCTTAGGCTTTCAATAATTTTATTTAATTGAATATTTTATGTAAATAAGCTAATAGTTTATGAAATAAAATGTTCCAAATACAACATTGATGTCCATAAACTGAAGACAATATAACAAGATAATTTATGATTTTTATTGTTTATTAATAATAAAAAAATAAACATACCCAAAATCGTGAGCCACAGAAATTGTTAGGTGCCTCTTCTTCCATGATGATGTGGTTATTTTTTTTGTCGTTCAGCCTTAATCAAAGATATTTTGTTGAATCTGCAAATATTGTAATTATCCTTATTACGAAATTAGTCTCATCAACACTAAATATTAAAAGTATGAATATATTTTGTTGATTTTTATAAAAACTGTCACATAGTCAATACAGAAGCAGTTAAATGTAATTGTACAAGCGAAATAATGGCTTTTAAGTAAAATGGCTCCGTAATAAGATGACAAAATTTTATTTTTATTGATCCTTTGCTCAGACAACTGATAAACGGAAAATAATCAATGAATCAGCTTAATCAATTTATAAATAAATATAAATGATAATAATAGTCTGAATTCGATAATTTTTTTATTTATGATTCTCATAAAAAAATATATATTCTCAATTTTTTACATAGAATATTTTATACTAATAGTAGTCATATGCATGTTAAGTATGCACTGTATTTTGGTTTATTATTTTCAGTAATGAACCATGAACAAAATTCAAAAACTTAACCCCCCTCAAAATTTGATGCTTCACGTTTCAGGATACATAAAATTCGAAAAATGAATAAAAAAAATTTGTACGTCCGCCGCATCCTGCATTTTTTCCGAAACTACTGGACCTATTTTTTTTTTTTTTCAAATTAGAGGTCACCCTAGGAAGATCCTCCTTCATCGACATTTCTGTCCTCCTTCCTTTCAAGATGGCGACCGAAAAACCTACGTTGCTATAGACTGCAGCGCCTAAACGAATGTACCGATATCATTGAAACTTCGTTTAAGTATTCTTCTCGATGCACTTTAAATTTCTCTATATAACATACTACAAAGAAAATAATCTGTAAAAAAAGTTACGAGGGATGGAAAAAATTTGATTCCGAATAACTCAAAAAGTATACACTTATTTGTTGATATTCTGGTAAGATGTTTCAAAGGTATTTAAATTTCTATATTAAATTGGAGGTATTTAAATTGAAGAAAGTTCCATAGAAATCAAAGAACTATTAGTGAAGATTCAGCGATTTTAAAATATTTTTGGTTTATTATTTTCAATAATGAACCATTGTGATCGAACAAAAAATTCAAAAACGTGACCTCCCTCTCCCTCAAAATTTGAGCTTTTACATTTTTTTTTTTTTAATCACTAATGATCAGATATGCAATTTGCAAATGCGGGACTCTTTCACATTTTAGTATCCGCTGATGTACAACAATCGTGGATATCAAACCCGTATATATTGAGGGATCACTGAATGTCCGAAAACGGCTTTCAGAGATTTTATTCTCATACGAAAAATTTGAGATCTTGTAATATAGATATTTTTTAGCCAATGAAAACGGTGTGGAAGTTATACAGACCTTGCTTGACAGACTTTTTTTTTTGTAGAGAATTCAGTAATCTTTCTTATAATCATGGGTACAATCAACTGAAAACTGTATACATTTTGAATTATTCGCAAATAAAGTTTATTTTCCTTCTTAATTGTTTTGCTGAAATTTCAGAAAGATCTGATATAATTCATCACTTCTGCATTAAAGTCTCTTTCATTCGTTAACTCAACATCAAAATCCATCGTTGTTGAAAGCCTGTTGAGAGCCAAAAAAAGGGACCTATAGTGCGAAAAATTACCGTATTATATATAAAGATAGATTCTACTTTCATATGCGTTATTTTTAAGAAGAGGATTGTATTCGTGAATTTTCTCTTTAATGACACAGCCACATCAATTTGTGGGTTCCCACATAATTCTTATTTCTTATTAATATTATGTCAGCTTTTTCGTGAGAAATAATGATTTAGGCTTCACATTCTGCAGTGCCAAATGTTTCTGCTTTCAGCAAACGATAATTAATAAAAAACATTTTATAATGGTTGATTTCAAAAATACAATGGCCCCTCTCATGAATGGGCCAATGCTATTAGAAACAATTGAAAAAAAAATATACAAAAGCTTGCATAACTTGTTCAAACATTATATAACTCAAGTGCTGAATTGAATCAACGCAGGGAAATAATTCAGTGATTACAAATAGATAATGTGTCATAATTCGCTTGCGAATTTTCATTGTTTCTTGACTTTTATACTCTAAGTAAGTGAGAGAAAACACAGAAAGAAAATCTCTTCTGAACAAAAAAAAAAAAAACTGCAAATTATTTCACAATGGTTTATTATTTCCAAACAATTATACATCAAAAGTAACATTAGCTTCCTAGCGACAAAAAAAAAAAGAAATAAAAGGTGATTCCAATTATTAAACTAAATATTTTTTTTAATCATGAGTAATATGCTAAAAAAAATTAGCATTACTTCAGTAACACATTCAAAAATCAAAAACCAAAACAAAGGTTATGACCTTTGGAGTAGAAGATATAAAAAACATTTAGAGACCATATCTTTGCTCCTAATTGTCCGATTTTAACGATTTTTTTTTTTTTTTTTTTTTTTTTTGTTTAAAGGAAATCTCGTCAACTATTTAATAATAAAACAAAAAAGTGTAAAGTTTTTGAGTTATTTGGAATTTAATTTTACAATCCCTCATAACTTTTTTTCCAGCTTCTTTTCGTTGAAGTATGTTATATAGATAAATTTAAAGGGTGTCGAGAAAATGACTTTAGCAAAGTTTCATTGAAATAGGTAGATTCGTTTAGGCGCTACAATCTATAGCAACGTAGGTTTTTCGGTCTCCATCTTGAAAGGAAATGTCGATGAAGGAGGATCATCCTTGTGTTACTCCTAATTTTAAATCTAAATTTGAAAAAAAATCGGCCCCGTAGTTTCGGAGAAAATGCGCGAACGGCGGAACTACGTATAATGAAATGTAAAACCTCAAATTTTGAGTTAAGTTAACATGACCTTAACATCCCATATGTCCTTGAAATATCCTATCCAGATCCTCAAACATTCACCAGAACCTTATTCATCATCCCAATCCTCTATTGTAATCCCTATTCAGCTCCGAGCATCCATGGCGTCCTCCTCGAAGATTAAAACGGCAGTGGCCTCGAGATCTCTTGTAAATATGCTTTTGGAGTCCTGGCAATGACCAGCTTCTCCACTCAAGTCCTGAGCGTCTGTGGCTCTATTGTAATCTTTCAGTCTCCACGGGCTTCTAATACTGGTGATGCGGCTTGAAGAGTGGCACTGGGATCTCCTGGAGTCCTGCTTTCGCATGTGGGGAAAAAGCCTGGCTCGGAGATTCCAGGGCGAATGTATATATTGTATATAAGTATGATTGGGTTTAGAAGTTTTTATTTTATTTTATTTGTTTATTTTTTCTTATTTAGTTCATTTTTTATCTCTATTATTTGTAAATATTGTATGAATGTGAACTTTTAGCCTTAATACTTATAGCAATCCAAAAGTGGATGATTGTATTATTATTCATCAAATAATTTTTTTATCTCAAGGTAAAAAAAAAATAAATTTAAATACAACAGAATAGTTTTGTTGAACCTAGACCTGACACTAGATTTGGAATGTTCCTGTAGTTGACAGGGATGACAATTAGGATATAATTAAGCTAAATAAAGTGTTGAAATTTTATATTCTTCATTTAAAAATAGATATTAACCAAAACTATCTTAGATTTATTACAAAGCTAACTTCTTGCCTTTTTCGACTTAAATTTATCGGTAAATGCTAGACACTGCCAAGAACATGTTTTTGTTGAAAACCAATTTTCGCTTTATATTTAATCGACATCACCAACAATTTTTTCTCATTGAATGACAGAGTAGTGGATGGTCCCATTTTCAAGACCCGTTATATTAAGTATATTTCTTTGAATTTATCAGGCCTTTCAGCCATAAGCGCAGACTTCGGGAGGAAGAGAGCGATCGTCCCCATAATTAAAATATTGAGGGAGTGAGAATATCGTTTGTCCCCCCCCCCTCCAATATTTTGAAGTGAAAAAAAATTAAAATTAGTTACAAATAAGCTATATGAATGAATAAAATGCTTTTTCGTTAAGTTCAAAGATAATAATATATAACAACATGTCCTTGAGTTTTATAATACATTTACCTCTCATGTGCGCTCCTCCATTTTCTCGTGATATTCTATTGTATAGTGTTGCCCGAAACGTTTTTGTGAAGAAAAATTAAGGCAAAATAGTTACTAATACTTGACAATTTTAGTTATTATAGGTGAAGAATTTATATAACCAATATACTTTTGCATTTAATTCTTGGAATTTTTCATTCAGGCTTAGTTAGGTTACCCATATCTGAAAAATTACAATCTCCATATTAATAAGCTTATAGGTAACTGTGAGACTCTTGCGCAAGACCAAGACCAAGACTTGTCTTGGTCTCGCATTTGGGAAACACTACTATTGTGACATTCCTATCACATTTTACGCGGTGAAATTAAAAAAAAAATATCCATAATAACTATTAGTAAAAATATTTTATAAAAGATCTTTTTACAAGACATTTTACATAACTACCCAGATTGTGAAAACGTTTCATTTTTATTTTGATGCAGTACAAACTAAGGAATCAAAAATATTTTTAGTTTTTAATAAAATTCATTGTATATATCAGGCAGTTTCCCTCTCCCATGTTTAATGCATAGAAGTATGTAATTTATTCAATTGTTTTGTAGAAATATTTTCAAGTATATTCAGAGACATTAAAAAAAAATCTACAACTAATAATATAAACATACATTTATTTTGAAATATTCACTATTGTATTTGTTCGCGTCGCAAGAGACTCTCCTAATTTGAAATTCATTATTTCGGTTATGATTTCCCGCAAACCTGAAGAAAAGCAGACAAACATACGAGGAGAAAATATAGAAAACAAAAATGTATTAAATAGAGATCTAGGATGTCCTGGAATCTTATTTCTTCCATGTTTCGAGGGGAACGTCAGGCGCTGGGAGAACCAGGATTTAGTTTTTTTGGGGGGAGGGGCTTCAGCCTGAAAGATTTTTTATAAAAAAATATATACCGATAATTTCTTAGAAAGAAAAAGAAGGAACTAACTACCTATGTGAAATAGAGTTTAAGTGATTCTTTAAGTACTTAAATGTAATTACACTAACAATAATACTTTTAGAGGTAATTATTAATTTTTTTTTTTATAAGACATGGTTATATTTTACCATTTTAGATCCACCCGTGATGTCTGATACTTGCAGTGCTTTTTAAATATTTTAACATTTTTAAAATCGATTATAAACAGTGGAACTTATGTTAAGTCGATTATATCGAAAATATCTTGTAACATCCCTAGGCATAAATATACCTTAAATACTTAATTTCAGTTTCGTTTCATTTTTAAGCTAAGCTGTTCAAACACCTTATTGCGCAACTTGCGAGCCTCTAAAAAAAAAAGTGAAACTAAAAACAGGGAAACAATTTCTTATTTTTAATATCTCGCTAACCACCAACAGTTAATAGTTTGTTTACATACAAAATAGCAAAAGTGGTGTAGGTCACTAACGGATCCAGGATTTAATTTTTTGGGGAGGCTTCAGCCCGAGAGATTTTTTTTTTCATATATATAACTATAATTAATTTGAAAAAAAAAAGAAAGAAATGAACTAACTATATGAAATGATGTTTAAGTGATTCTTGAAGTCCTATTAAATGTAATTACACTAACAATAATACTTTAAAAGATAGTATTTAATATTTTTTTCTATAAAACATGGTTATATTTTACCGTTTTGAGGGGCCTCAGCCCGAATGCCCCTTCCCCTCCCCCCGTAAATCCGTCTGTGGTGTAGGTTGAAATGTTTAAGATGGACAACGCTCAGTTTATTGAAAATAAATTAGCAGACGCAGAGATCCATAGCTCAACAGAAAGTATAACTCGTCATATTCATTAACAAATTTGATTTTAAATCGTTGATGATTAAGATCCATTTTTAAAAATATTTTCAGTGATAAAAAATCAAAATTAATTGTAAAAGTTGATTTTAAATATTCAAGACATTCATTAAAAAAAAAAAAATTGCCAGAACGGAATGCCTTTATGATTACAATTTAAAAAAATATCAATTTATATACAATTTAATAAAACAAGCATGTAGAGTTGTGTATGAATATAAATATTATTGGCTTACCTCATAATTTTATTTTGGTGTTAAAACCAATTTATTTTAACGATTCCATGCTAATCGAAATCTTATTCTGAATCCACTATCAACAAACCACTTGTCAACACTCACCGGCCATACTTAGTCCAACGCTTCCTTGCAATGCCTTTACTATCGGCTTCTCAGCTGATATCAAGGTCGCACGGTCACGTGATGGTTAGTCATCAAAATGGCTCCGAACGTTTTTTTTTCCGATTCGACATTAAGTAGTTATTGACGTTATTATATATTTACAGAAGATTCGGGTGAAGAGTGTGTAGACTAATGTTTGATTTTTCGTTATCTAGTGGGTTTAAAATTTTTTGATTCGATTTTCAAGAGGATTGAAAACTGATTCTTAAGTATCTTGTCAAGTTTTAATACCATTTTAAAAAATGATTAAACTTACGTGTTTTAGATATGAATCATCTGTTAGAAGGATGTATCTACACAACAGAATTAAACAATCGTAAGTCACATTTTCTGAGTTTCATTACATTATCGTGTTAGAATTTTTCTGAAAATTATCCTAAATAAGCTAGAGATGTAAAAAAATATTTAAAATATATTGACGACAATCTACTTCAAGCAATTCAGTGCAAACTAAACTTTAAAGTCGCTCTATTGTAAAATGTCACGTACGACAGTTAACTCTGATGATCAGGTATAGACTATATTAAATTGATCACTCAAACATGAGGAGATAAAAAAGTGAATGTTCTTTATAATATCCTGACATGAGCTCTTGATGCTCGAACGTGTAAAAGCGTAAATTTTAACATTTTCGAGTCTAGCGACGCAGCTTCGAATCCGGCCTGAACTGGTCAAAATTCATTTCGTGGAGGATCCACAGAATAAATCTCGACCTTCCCACTATGGTTAGAATAGGTTTGGTTGCCATTCAAAATCAATACTCTACACCCCCCCACCGCATGCGAAAAAAATATATATTGCTCCAATTGTTTATTGTAAATCTCATAAGCGCCAGTATAGAGAGAAAGGACAAGCCACTAACCGCTTCTCCAAAATTTCGTTCCTCCCCCCACCCTGTATCAATCTCTGAAATATATCGACAGCCACTCTGCAAAAGCCTGTAAGTACAAAAACTAAAAATTTTCAGGTAACGAAAAAAATGGGTAATACTTATTATATTTTCAGTTTAATTTTTTTTTTTAGGTCTAACGCAAATATGTAATTCTATGTAACTTTTTTGATTTGGTTTCTGCCAAATAATCTTTTAACATGATTTCTAACTTATGCCTTTTTAGATACTTTGTAAAACACGTACTAATTAACAGGGAAAAGCAATCAAATCTAATGTAGTAACATCCATAACGTTGTTAATAATGATCAAATCATGACAGGAACCAAGTCAGTTTCCAAAATGTAAAGAAACAATACTTCAAATCAAGATTTTACTGAACAGCGAGTATTTGATTACACGGATTATTCACTTTTTTGTCTGCCATTGTAGGGGCAGCTCGAATAGTGGGTCTCAGTTACATACATTTTAGTTATATTTAAGACACAGGCGGATTTACGAGGGGGGGAGGGCTTTCGGGCTGAAGCCCCCTCCCTAAATGGTAAAATGTAATCATGTTTTCCAGAAAAAATATTAAAAACTATCTCTTTAAGTATTCTTCTTCGTGTAATTACATTTAATAGGACTTCAAGAACCACTTAAACAGCATTTCATATAGTTGGTTAATTTCTTTCTTTTTTTTCTAATTAATTATCATTATACCTCATTGTTCCATATGTTTCTGATTTGGCCAAATCCAGATACCTATTCTTCCATAATAAACTTCATAACCATCCGAATCCTCTTGTTTCTAACCTTGCTTCCTCTTCGATTCCTGATAACCCTCCTAGGCGTCTGAAAAGATGATGGCCTCGTGATCTTCTCATGCAGACAAATTATTAGAGTGCTACCAATGGGTAGTTTCTCAACAAGCGTGTTTCATGTGATAATATTCCTCTGTACACATTTACTTGATGTATTCATACTAATACAGTTGTAAATATCATAATAAAAGTTAAAAAAAAAAAATTATCATTATATGTATATGAAAACAATTTTTTTCGGGCTAAAGCCCCCCTCCCCCCAAAATTAAATCCTGGATCCGCTAGTGATTTAAGATATCTTAAAAACAAGATATCTAACAGATGGCCATTTTTTATTGACTTTTTATAGTTTGCTAAAAGTCTGTTTGACTAGATGTCTTAAAAATGTCATGAATTATATATATATATATATATATATATATATATATATATATATATATATATATATATATATATATATATATATATATATATATATATATATATATGATATATTTTTCACGATGAAAATTGGGCAGCATGTTCGAAATAATCATAATATAAGTTCATAATCTTAGCTCAGGCTGTTTATAAAAATTAAGATGATATATATTCCATTCGAATTGAAGAAGTTTAAAAATAGATATGAAAGAAGTTGTCACTACTTGATCAAGATATGTGATTACATTTTAATATTTTCTATATTAATCTGCTATAACAAATTGAAGTTAAATTGTTTACAACTGCTGACGGAGTTCGGACAATATTCATCGTCTAGCATTCTTTAAGAAAATTGAGAGAAATTTCATGAAAAATTGACAAGGAATTCTTTAGTTGCTATCTTCATCATCAATAGTATCATTCACGTTTGAAGTTTATGATTTTAAAAACTGTTTCTAATAATGGTGACAAGGCAATGGATGAAGACATGATGGAAGTTGTATAACCGTGGTTACAAAAAGACGATCAACACCCGAAAGGCACGTCAAAGGAAATAAAATAGTGTAATAGTGTAGTAATATAGCTTTAAATAAGTTAATTATATTTCAACAAACTTGTTTTTTATTTTTCTTGTAAAGTAATAAACATTTTTAATGATCCTATGTATTTTAGATGTACTTTTGGGAATGTCAAAACGATATATTTCAGGTATATTTTGGATGAATTATTGCGTGTCTCAAACGAGTTTTTTTTTATATAACTTTTTTAGGATGGTTTAAAGAAAGCTAACAACGGCACCTATGCCATCTTTTTGATATGTTTCAGTATATCTTTTAGGCATCCCATGTCTTGATCAAGACATCTGTAAGCCATTTATTAGATAAATTTTTGCTGGTTGGGTATTTACTTAAAATATCTCACAAAAAGTTAAATATACCGTATTAATAATAATTGTATTATATTGCAGGTCATAAAGTTACACTGTTATCATGTTAAACTGACCTTAGAATAGAAAATAATTTTATTTATAATATGTAACATAATATTATTTATTAACACAAAAAGTAAAAAGAAAGAGAAATAAGAAAATAAAACATTGGTTAAACATACTACTTTTTTTTTATTAGTAGTTTCTACTAATAGTGGGTTTTCATAACCTAAAGTGCTCCGATGGCTTCTTTCCATAATGTCCTATCTAAGGTCCATTCTTCCCGTAGACCATGACCCATCATGGATTCCTCAACTTCGTTATGCCAGGTCTTCCTCGTCTTCTTCTTTCCCTAGTTTTCCATAAGTAGACTTTTTATAGTAGTATTCTTTTCAAATGTCCAGACCTCTTCAGGCGTTTTTTCTCAATTTCTTCCAGAATGGTTCTTTTAGCCTCCATCTTTTCTCTAATGGTCGTATTTCTCACTTTCTCTATTTTGGATGTTCCTGCCGTTCTTCTCCAGTAGTTCATTTCGGTGGCTAGATGTTTCTACCTGAGGGTGCTTTTTATGGTCCAAGTTTTTGACCCATAAGTCATAATGCTCAGTACTATACTATTGTACATGTTTTTTTTTTTGTTTTGGGGATAATGTTCCGGTTTCATAATACCGAGTTGAGCATTGATATGGCCTTTTTGCAATCTGAATTTTTTCTTTTTATTTCTTTTTTTATCTCATGCACCATATATTTCAATTATGGAACTAAGATATTTAAAATTTTTATTATTTAAATCCTAAACATACTATATACAATAAAAAAAAAATCTATATACAAATTACTTTAAACGATGCCAAACTACTTAAAACTATATACAGTGGTAAAACATAAACATACACTTTTAGAAAAATAAAAAATACATTACATTCTTCTTAGAAATAAACTCTGTGTTGCTGTTAAAAAAAAAAAAAAAAGAAAAGCCGAATCTGATTGTAAAAATTGTCTGAGTATTTAAGTAATGATTTATATATAAATACATCATTATGAATGATACATAAAAGGTATATGATACATAAAGGTGTACATCATTATAAATGATACATAACCTTACCCTGGCTATCACCTCAGTATTGGAAATCCTCAACTTAAGAGAAGTACAGAAAGGAGGAAAACTCGCACAAATTAGAAAGGAAACATTAAGTGAGAACAAAATTATAGGTTCATAGTACTTTAATCAAGGAGAGCGAAACCAGAATATAAGAACTTGTTCCAACTGTCCAGTAACGTATAACGTATTAGTCCAGTAACGTTAGGAGAAAAGCAGCCTTTATTAAAAAAATTAAGATGAAACGTCAGAAATTTATTACCCTCCCCATAAAAACTGGTTAAAAGTCCCAAAGAATCCTACAGGATTTGATGAGGGGGAGAGAGAAGAAAGACAGAAAACTGACTTTTTTTTAGTTTAGTAAGTTGAGATGCATTTCTAATTGAGTAAAAAGGTTATTAGTTGGGTAAAATTATATTTACTCTGTAAATATAAATTCAATGTAATATAGACTCAAAGGTCGTCAAACAAGGAAGTTTTTCTAAAATTGTGCTATCTTCAGTCCAGTGGGGAGGGAAAGTTATAAAAAAATTCAAGAAGAGTCCTAGGTTATATGAAAAAAAAAACGATGTTACCGTAGTATAAGTAGGAATGAGTTGTTATTCCTGACAAATATCCTTTCTCCTCCCTTTAATTAACACGAGGTGTTCCTCAGGGCTCCTGACTCTCTCCAACCCTGTTCTCCATTTATATTAGCGACCTTCCTGATTCCATTCTTCATTCCCACTATCACTTATATGCAGACGATCTACAAATCTACTTATCGTTCCAATCATCTGAGATACCCGAAAACTACAAGAGGATATTGACTGTATGCATAGGTGGGCCAAGAAAAATAAACTGAAGCTGAACGCAGACAAAACTAAAACGTTCCTAATCGGCTCCAAGCACCTCATTAGTTCAATAACCGTCTCATCCATTTCCGATAGTCAAAAACCTCGGAGAATCAGAACCTCTCTTAGAACAACCACATTTCCCATTATCCGTAAATCCATAACTATCCGGGATGGGCAGCGAGGATCCACTAAGACAATTACTGATGGAGCCACTCCATGGTACTAGGAGAAGAGCAAGACCAAAGCTGTTATGGGATTCGACTCCGGATTGTAGAGCCACGCTAATAATGATATACAAGATCAACAGCTTAGTTTTTTTTTCCATTTTCTAAAATTACGAATGTTGATATTGTTGATGAAATTTAATGTTGTTGATAGAAAATGACAATATTAAAATAAATTTAATGTATATTGGAATGCCACAATATTTTTATTTTAGAATAGATATATATTTTATACGTTTGTGAAGAATCTTAAAATGCAAAAAACAAAAGTCTCGAATGGATTAAAAAAAATATCACGTGTGTATTCAGAAATGAACAGATATTGTATACCCAGAACTGAAATATTCTGCAAATATGGCATTAGTCATTCATTAACCAAAGAGTTTCAAGGTGAGTGATAACACAGATAAACGGCCAAAAAAGCAAAACAAACAAACACAAAAATTAATCCTCTTTAAAGTAAGTACTGCAAAATGTGTTATTGTCATGATGGTGAGTGGCGTATGTTGGAGGTCAAATATTGTTCAGTTCAATTATTGTTCACTTAATTTTAGTTTTCTAGACCGTACAGTTATTTATTTATTGTTATATCTCTCGGTTAGTAATAAGTGTTTCGTAACGGGGTAATTGTATTAAATCAGATCTCGTAT